ATTACGGCGATATATTGAGTTAAAATGTCACATGACGTCACGCTTTGTACATTTTCTAAAACACTGTGACGTAGCTAGCCCCCCACTCCTTAAATTTAATGCTTGTTATCTAAGCTATTTGTTAAATGAGGAAGTATTAAAAAAAAAATTAGTTCTCGAAATCAAACTAGGTTTTCTTTCATGTATAAAAGTAAATTAGTTTTCAAAACTCTAGAAACCACTCATATTCTATTTTTACTTTTTCGTATTTGTATTGATATCTAAGCTTCGAACTTTTCAAATTTCAGTTTTTTAATATGTTAGTTAAAAGGAACGGAAATGACTATCTTTGGTCCGTTCGTTTCCTGCAAATAACAACTTTTGCTAGAGTCGCCATCTAGTGGAGGTGCTTTTAGTAGTGCTTTCTTGTTTTATTTAATACTTGCTCATTGAACTAAAAAAAAAATACATATCTAATATTTTTCTTTTATCTGACTGACGGACTAAATAGAATTTCTTTTACCCAGTCGTCATTTATCCTCTGTGTTCTGTGCTAATGCCATTGTTGTTTCAATGTCTCTTTTTGGCACAAAGATGTTGATATCCTTTTAAGATAGAACTGATTAAAAATGTGGGGTGCCAATTACATTTCAACTGTCAATAACTTTGAATTTAATACTCTCAAAGTGGAAGCTAGAAGCCTTTCTTCCCGCTTTAGATTTGCTAACACTCTCAAAGTGGAAGCTAGAAGCCTTTCTTCCCGCTTTAGATTTGCTAACCGATGGCATAGCTCCCGACGTTCACAAATGCTTGTAACAGCCTGGACGGAATAAATAAATATCAATTTGAATTAGATCGAGATTGTTTGGCATCGTCGTGGCTAGAATCCTCATGCGGAAAAGGCTTCGTGCTGCTCTAGCTGCTTGGACCCGACTATTATTCAACAGCCGTATGGGTAATTAAACCTTTCTATACAACTCGTTGGTGTTTTTGCCTCAACGCTCATCGCCTATGCCCTAGTTTCCTTCAAATTGGAAATGGTTTGCGGTGTCGTATGCGGCTTTCAAGGTAAAACCAGCAAGTATTTTGAGACTAAGGTATTCTATACAGATACCTAAAGCTTGGCGCTCCAAAGAGGTAATCTACCTTTTACCACACTTAATTTATTACTTCAAAGTTAATTGAACTTTGAAGTCACGGTTACCAAATTGGCAATAAGATTTTGAGACCCAATACCTAGCCTTGAATATAAGTAAATATTTGTTTTTTAAATGACGTATCATAGGCAACATTAGCCCACATTGCTCAGATCCCAAAGCAGTAGTGTTTGTTATTATAGGACGCTCAAAACAACGAAAATAGTAACATCCTGACCCAAGGCATTATAGAAAAATTCTTTTGATAAATTGACTTAAAAATTATAATTAGCGCCATAGATCGTTGCAAATAGCAAAATTATATATGCTTTAATAGGATGCTTAGAAAGCAGAGGCTTTCATTTTTCTAAGGCACACCAACTAATGTACCACTGGTGGTACACACTTTGCGGAATACTGATCAAGCAGACCGCCAATTTTGTCAATTATACTTTATGTATTCATTTGTAAATACAAACCCACGCTTAATTACTGTTGCATTATTCAAAGAAGTAACATATTTACTTATTTGCTAATTGCATAAGTAATGTATTGTTTGATATTGTGTTACGCAAACTAAAGACACATTAGTGTTACTTTATCCTATAGGTAGGCGAGTTGTATAAGAATTATGAACGCTTAAGTTCTAATAGTAAGCTATACTTGAGAGTATAAGCGTCTAAATGGTTTTTAGATTGGAGTTTTAAGTCAGTTTTTGATAAACAGCAAAAAGAGCGGGGGCGAGGGAGTTCCACGAACTTAGCAATGTTTTCTTCTTCTTTTGATTTTATTACCATTATATTGACATTTTGCACGTCTATTTTCACACTGAATCCTTGTCATTGAATTTTTATATTTCATTTTGAATTAATTAAAAAATATTTTGTGATGCTACATTTCACGTGTTTCATTATAGTCTTTCCTTGTCTCGTTTTCTCTGTCTTTATGAATATCTACTAATGATTTAAAGGGGAAAGATTTGATCGTTTTTATGTTTGTAGTGAATAGTCTCCGAAGCTACTTGATCGATTTAAAATTCTTTCACCTACGAGAAGCTTCCTTTGCGGGTGACTTGGTCTATAATCCTACTACATACAGTATATGTGCATTAAAAGAGTTGTATTTCAACTGTGAAAAGTATAATTTGCATCGAGGTTGTACTTGCGTATAATTTCAATGGGTAACTTGAGTATTTCCATGTCAAGTGGCCAATAAGTGTCATTGAGAAATCGATCTTAAAACGACCTTGGCGAGACCTATTATCGATTGCTTTCAATCAATGTGACGTATAAATATATGTCATTGCCTCATTATTAGGATCGCCTCCATCTTTATAATAGTGTCAAATGAAATAATTATTAACGTGTATAAAAAAAAGAAGAACTAAAAAAAAAGCTAAGATCATTAATACAATTTTGAACTTTGATAAATGTAGAGTGTAATGAAATATTGCAAAGTTTAAATATGCTATTTATAAATTTAAGAATGTTTTACTCCATGAATGTTTTATTTATTTTTTCTTTTATTGGGAGGAGTTTTTATTCTTTTGCACATACGCTAAGCAATATTTACTATACAAATAATTCACATATTTTTTGTCCAATTAGAGACTTATAATTTTACTTACTTCGCTGGCTCAGCGATCTAAAGTGGATCTTGGCCTCCGACGTAGTTCTCAACCAGTTCAGTCCAATCTGGTACTTGAAGTTCCTTTAAGTCTTACAATTTTGCTGAAAATGATTTTTGTGCAGATGAAATTATATGTCTTTGCCCGGTTACGTACACACGCCAATGGCTAATGGCTCGTAAATTGGTCTGTGACCGATTTCGACAATCCGCCTATTCTTCGAAGTTAGGTTTTTTAAGAAAGTAGTCTGTATTTAGCCGGTTTTTTATTTGGATTTGATTGTTATTGTATTTTTGGAGCTGAAGCTTGAATTAGTTATTATCAAGTATGTTGTATAAGAGCCCCTTAGATATTTATTTTATCCGATTTTTAGTATTTGTTTTTAAAGCAGCAACAGAATCACATCATCTATGAAAATTTCAACTGCCTCACTATCACGATTCATGAGATACAGTCTGGTGACAGACGGACGGACGGACAACGAAGACTTAGTAATAGAGTCCCGTATCGCCCTTTGGGTACGGAACCCTAAAAACGAGTTAAGATTTCTGACATTTAAGCTTAATTTTTATGTACTTATGAATTTAAAATTTTCAAAATGAATGTTCAGTTTGTTTACAGTTTGCAAATACTGTCAAATAAGAAATGTTGTTATACAACATGAAATTAATTATTATACTTCGATAGATAGCATGATTATAACATTTCAAACAAAACTGAACTTAATTTACGGATGATTTGGAGTTGTAATTGTTTAACGCAGCAACATTTCCTTTGTTGTTGTAGAATGTTGGCCTTAATGATCTTTAGACTTTGCGTCAATGTTTTGATTGTAATAAACTACTAGTGATGAGGCTATAAACGATGCGGTTTTCATACACATTTTCAGAGGCTAATCTTCGGATAGGTGACCGAACCACATACATTTATCTGATCCCAAATTAAGTAGCTAAAGCACTTGTATTATGGAAATCTGAAACAACGAAGGTAACATAACACTCAGACCAGAGACAATGTATTCTAAAATGACCCGACCGGGAATCGAATCCGGGAGCACAGAGGTGGCGATACTTTGAAATCGAGGTGCCACTCGCCATGGAGGACGAAAGTTTATTATTTTGAGCTCCTCAGCATTTACACGGTTTCATTGCGTATGTGTTTAGTTTTATTTACGTTTCGGATTCTACAGGTTCCGTGTTCACATAAAAGTAATGTGTAGATTGTCTTTTTAATTAAGAGAAAAGCTACCTTCGAAACAATACTATTGGATACATTCACAATGCAAAATATATTGTATATATATATATAAGGCAACGTTTACGTTTATTAAAATTAATTATTTTAAACATACCACCAAATTTGGAAGTCTTGTCTGAGAAGAACCGGCGAAAACTCCTACAAGCAAAAGTGATTTTCTCCATTTGTTTTAATATTTACAGAATAAACTAACTGTATTTTTTGATTTTGCAATATGTGATCTGGATTGAGATCTTATTTGACTAATTACTGGATCCTCAGCCGGTGGTTTATGCCAACCTTTATCTCTATTAAAATTTATATATTTTTTTAATTGCAATAGCCCCGCGTATCATTCTAGGGATAAATTTTTGTTTAGACTTATTTGCTGGGGAAAAGGTATTTTATTTGTACTTATAAATTTTTCAAATAATCCTAAAGAAACTGGCAAGCTATAGATTAAAAATGTGCAGAACTGAACTTGAAATCGAGTATCAATTCGCTTCTTCTGCGAAAAAGGCGAAATCACGAGGCTCTCAATGAGACACATTATTCAGTAAGACACAGAAAAAAGAGAGAAAATACTTACAAGCAAATGTACAGATAAAAAGAGAAAAACAGTTTATAATAAAGTCTTAATTATAAAAAATACACAAACCTACCTACGACCACGATTATAATAATACTTATACGAGGAGGCTCAAAAGCAAAGTATAATCGTCAATCCTTACTAAATACTAATATGTTTTTTAAATAAATTTTTGTACAGAAATGGGGCCGAACTTACGAAAGGAATATAATTAAATTCTATAGCGAAAAATAAGGTTGAATTAGGAGATGAAACATTCTATTTATGGTCATAAATAATTATTTTGTTTGAGCGTTTTTAAATTTGCTGCCCCTAAGTAACTATATTAAAAGCTAGTATTACTTAAATAACAGTTTAGAACGACATATCTAAAATTATGACTGGAAAAAATAATACTCGATATTTATTAAGTTGATTGTTATGTTTGTTTCAGGGTCGTACCAGCCGAGCAATGAATTGATGTTGAGATTTTATAGCTACTTCAAGCAAGCCACAGAAGGTCCTTGCGATAAGCCAAAACCAGGTTTCTGGGACGTAGTGAATAGGTAAACATTTTATTGTTTGATTTTTTGTGTTGTTAATGTAACTACATTAAGTACAAAAATATTTGTAAAAAAATTTGCGATTTATCTTATTATCACAGCATTCCACTGCTGGACATAGGCCTCCTCCAATACGCTCCATTTTTTCTTATTTTTTCAAGAACTACTAATCAAATTATGAATTGTTAAAATAATTAACTTGACAATGTTAAAATACTTACCTCCATTTTCATTAACAACAACAAGGTATACAGCCAGTTGCACAAACGTTCATTAAAATTTTCTTTAGTTTAAAGCGATATTACCCATACAAATTAGACAATCATTAGAGCTTAAAGGCGTCATTAAACCTTAATGCATGTTTGTGCAACTGGCCGATAGTTTAATAAGGAAATGCCTAATCTTACAAATCGCCCAAGCAGATTAGTTTAATTCCAAATAAATATTTTATTCCTTGACATATTTATGAACTGTCATATGCCTAGCCCAAGGCGCTGCATAACGAATATCATAAATTTAGACATTGCTTAATTTCGTTAGGTGGTTCTTAGTCAATGGTGAAATGCATTTTTACCTTAGGCGATTCCTAAATATTTAGGCGAAAGATTTGGGCGACTCCTAATCTTAGTGAAAACGGGTTTTAATCTCCTTGATATTCCTATAATGATTTGACTTGCATGATTTAGACCTTAGTATTTAATTGAAATGTTTATTGTAAAATACATTCAGAGTGTAACTTACTGAGTTATATGGCCATTAAATAAGTTGATTGAATTTATATGGGTTTTTCGATATTTAAAAACGTAACTAGGAAGGTTTTTTAGCCCAAAAAATCTCAGTATTAGTAAATCATCATTATCACCCATCTATAGGCCTTTTCTATGGATATAATCGAATCGAAACGGGGAGAACCGACCATGTACCACGAGGAGGGCCAGTGCCTATTGGCGGGTTTACGATTGCAGATGCAGCCAGGCTTAACATGCCTTCCGAAGCACGGAGGAGCTTGATGATTTTTTGTCACTCATCCCATTACTGACCTTTGCGAAAGTTGCTTAACAACCGTATCGCAGACGGAACACACTAACCACAGGGGGCCAATTCTACTAAATAAATTTTGTTTAAATCGAATCGAAAACGGATCGAAACCAAACAAACCTACAGTTTTTAATGGTTTTCCTATTCTACAAAGTTACATACGATACAATTCCAGTTCTATTTTAGCTGGAATTGTATCGTATGTCACTTTGTAGAATATAAAACCATTAAAAGAATGGAGGTAAGTATATTATTAATTGTTTAATGCTGGGAAAAATTGTTAAATTATATTGTTATTTTTTATTTATCACAGAGCCAAGTGGGAGTCATGGAACAAACTGGGCGACATGTCACGTGACGAAGCGATGCAGGCGTATGTAAACGAATTGCACAAGGTATTAATATTAATATAGACTAGAATAATTCCTATAAATATATGAACTAAATGTAATCATGATTGGTTAATGATTACATTTAACGAAAAGATATGAATTAGATAAGAACAGCGCCATCTAAGGATCTTCTACAAAATAATAGCTATTGACGGGTAGTCTGCCAGGTACAGAAAAATTTCTGCCAATGTGATGTCACGCTATGTCGGGTCTTATTTCAAATCACGTGGGTACCTCCTATTGATAGTGTCAATTCGTCATTTCATGTCGTGTGACACGGCCTCATGCTTATTTATTATGCATTCGTTAATTTTGAGTTGTCTGATGTATAAAAACAATGTGTATTACGTAGAAGACAGAAGACAATGATATTTATGTTATTTTGTTTTAATTTGTCCTTCAGATAGTGGAGACCATGTCGTATAGTAACGATGTAGCGTCGTTCCTTTCGGTAGATGAATCGAACAGGGATCTGGAATTGGTTGCGGGTGACGTGTTAGCGAGGGTGCGCACGGACCAAGACACGCCTAACGGTGAGTACTGATTTCACTCTCGTCTTGAGAAAAGGGGTATTTGTTTGTAAAAGAAAACGTTCCTCAAATAAGTCATGGCAGGCGTGCTGGGAAAAAAAGCTGAATTTACATTACGAAAAACTATCTGCATGAGATTGCATGAATTTCGCTAGCATTTTCATAGCAGTGTAAATGCACACTTTCATAATGCATTAGTTTTACGATACTAGAGAAGTTTCACATGTACCAAAATTAGTTTCGTGAAATCTGTTTTAGGCATGGCACTAATTTCGTTATTTAAATACGGCTTTAATTTTGTTCACACATAAAAGGTTTATTTTTAAGTTTACATTATTGCTGTTTTCATTGTTGTGTTAGATTCTTTATCGGAGAGCGGCGAGTCGTCGCCGGTGCGGGCGGCGTCGCCTGTGCGGACGAAACACGACTCGGACGATGAATTTATCGATACAGTTGACGTCACTATTGTACGTATTTTAGGAGTTAAGGCCTGTTCAGGCAACTTCTATTGTGATGTTTTTGTTTTTGTTACACATAATTTAATATTAGTGATTTACTTAATGGCTTATTTAAATTGTTCATGATCTATTCGCTTTTTGAATTGGTTCCTTATTTCCCATAAGGGGTGGACCAAAGCTACTCTGTGCTTCGGAAGGCACATTGAGCCGTTGGCACCGGCTATATTTACGATATTCAACACGCCATTTCGCATTTGCCCCGCGTGGTGGTTCATGGCCCATTCTCCCTATTCGATTAGATTCGTTTCCATAGAGAAGGCTAGTAAGGACATTATGGACATGCTATATCGGCCAATGTACATTAGCCTTTAGTTGTTATTTTGATTTAGTGACTGAATGTATAAAATGTGTCTTTATAAATACTATAAGTAATATTGAACACTTGTTCAGGGTGAACCAGAGCCTGTACAACAACGAACAATTCCAAGACTCAGCAACGGACACGCGCACCAGATCACATCACAGCTAACACGTTAGTATTATTAATTTAATTTTATATTTTCGCAAGGGTTGGTCTCGGGATGGGTGACCGAAAAAATATCTCAAGCTATTCCGTGCTACTTAAATCGTTGGTCTCGGCTGCATTTGCAGTCGTTAATACAATCCGCTTTGGGTCAGCGGGGGAGGGTTATGGCTCATCCTCCTTAACCATCCATAAGGAAGGTCTATAATAAAGAATGAAATGAAAGACATAGAATGGTTTATTTCCAAAAGTTAAATGTTCGAAATAGGTGGGTCATAGCCCCTTCTCCCTATTCAATTTGATTCGATTTCATCCATAGGGAAGGCCTATGCTAAAATATTTTAAATTAAACGTAAGAGTTTTTGTAGTATACTTTTTAATATTTTTTTTTTCTGATTTGTGTCATAGATTTGAAAGTGTTAGAACAATTGCCCGGTACGCTGGCGAGACTTGAAGCTGACGTCGCGGCATTACGTAAAGCGGTAGAAGGAGACCGCGCTATCACACAGGTCAGTGAAATGAAATGAAATGAAAATATATTTATTCAAATAGGTTTTTTACAAGAACTTTTGAATCGTCCAAAAAATTTTTTTCCCCTACCACTTGTTCAGGACGTCTTTTAGTTGACAAGAAGAATAAGCGAAAGAAACTTACCAGCTTTTTATCATAAGTCGATTTGATAGTATATTTAAAATGAATTTCTGGTACATGATCTCTAGAGTTTTAAGTAAAAACATTGGTTTATTGTCCAAATTTATTTACACTATTTAATTTTAAAAAAATACTTAAACATCAAGAGGTAATTAAATAGATTAACAATTTACTGAGAAATGAACATTTAAATCCTCTATTAGAAAAGGATAGGAATATGCTCTGTAATTCGCTACTTTATAAAGTATATTTTCTTTTCTAATAACCGTAAGGTCTTGTTTTTTTGTGAATGCTACATTTACAGTGATATCTTAATATTTATTTTAAAAATACTCCGAGATAAGACGTCCGTCAGTTTCTTATTTAGGATATATAAGATTTTACAACCTTTGTTATTTTTTTTGAAGCAAGCGGCAAGCGGTTGGCGATGGCCATGGCAGGAGTTAAGTCCACCTACCCTCGTGTTCATGTTCTTGTGGCCTTTTATCGCTTTCAAATTGGCATCAAGGATGCAAAGGAATCGAACCAAGTAAGTTTATCTTCAACATTATTACATTTACTTTGACATTGTTGGCTGTTACTTTAAAGGAAATCACTGAATCCTTATAGGCTATCTTCACTTTTTTCAAGACGCCTGATGGTATCAAGACGAAATTAATTTTAAATATTCAAGTTTGTAAACTCTAAAAAAATAATAAATGATTGACAGTACTTTTGAATCGCCCAACATTTTTTTCCTATCGTTTTAACTTAGAAGTCACCCAAATCTGACACCTAAATATTTAGGCATTGTCAAAGGTAAAAATGCGTTTCACCTATTACAAGGAGACAGCTAACTACTAAAGTTAGGACATGCGTTGTGCGGCTCCTAACGCTGTGCATTTGCGTAATGTGACAGATACATTTACTCTTTGGTTATAACGGATGTATCCCTTGGATAAAATCAATTTATTAAGATGGAATCAAGAAGTTTTTATATATTAGAATTAAGATTAAACAATGAGATTGTTCGAATTTTCGGACTTTTTACATATGTACATTGACGACTTAGGTGCTCGTGTAGATGACGATAAACAAGACGATGTATTATTTTTCTTGATTTATCACTTCTAAATTTAAATTGTTGTTATTGTCTCTTTACGTGTAAAGACCACTGTACACGCGGTACATAAATAATAATACTTGTTAGAGTATTAAAGTTTTACTGAGTAAAAACGTTAGAAAACAGTACAATAGAATATGTAGGTTTGTTCGAGTACGTAACGATAATGCGCGCGTGCGCTCCGCCGTGGTGTTAAGTCGGGACTGTCGAGCGCGCCGGAGCCGCGCTTTTGTAGCGTCTGTCCCCTCACTCCCGCTCCTCGCTATAGGGATGGGACAGCAGCGTGAACAACCACTAACGTGTAATTGGCGAAATTGTGTAAACGCAAATAGGCCATACATTAAAAAAAGTAGACGAACTCATGCATGCAAAATAATAGATAAACTTTGCCTACCTAAATAAGTGCTTAGTCATAGTCACGACATAGTTTTGTTGCGCTCAAATGTCTTTTCTGCATATACACACCCGCTAAACATATATATAAAGTCTGATATTTTGATATAATTATTTTCTTTTTTCTAGATAACGTCGTTACACGTCACAAAGTTAGTTAAGAATAAGCACTCGACGCCACGTCGGCAACACAATGGATACAAATTGTTATCCGTAAAGATGATCGGATATTTTAATATCATTAATTCTTGGCAACGTGGGTACTTAGAAAATGTTTAACAAAAAACATTCAATGATTTTTTATCAGGAACCATATTGTGAAATAAATGTGAAATATCTCTTTTCCTCGAGCGATTACTATATTCGCCACTAATGAGTTAAATTTAACTACCTATATAAAGAAATATTTTTACAAATAAGCTTGCGCTTATGTTTTGAGAACACAGTTGAGAGACAAGATCTTCGATGGCTCAGTGGAAGTTTACTTACCTGAGCCCCAATTCTACTACTATCCTAATTATGGCGTTTCAATAACATCGGTTTTCGATTAAAATTTTCAAAAATATATGTGTAAAATGTCATTGTATTCATAAAATTTTACTAGAATTAGATAATACAGTGTTGAAATACATGTAATTGAGACGCCAATAGCGGAATTAGGGCGACCACTGGTTTCCAGTCCTGTCTGCTTTTTTAGACTGTAAACAGCTTACTAAAATAACAAATGATAATCACAAAGAACTATTTCTTTTTTATTATTTAGTTTTCTCAGTACATACACGTCGCCATGATTATCCTTTTTTATTCTAAATAGTTCCATCTCTTTCTAATACCATTTAGATTGAAAGAGATAGTTTTAAGTTGAAAGAGCGTTAAGGTAAGGTTATGCTACCAATGAAAAAATGGTTTTATGCATTATATGTCGTGGATATGTTTAATATTTTAGTATCGGGTGTAAAGGCTTGTGAACTTGTCACTATTTGATTTAGATTCAGTGTCGCTGAATAACTTTCTTATATACAGAAACACCAACAACTAGAAGAACTAGATAATTAACATCATAAATAAAAACGTTTTTTCTATGACTTTTGATAAATTCTTTACATTCTGTTTCCTAAAAAAAATATATATTTTCTTGCTCAAATGTTAATATAATAAATATAATAATCTTGAAGATGCGCATAGAGTTATACAGGCATCATCGAGATTACTCGTCGGTCGAAAACAAAATAGCGTCTATTTTCGAAATCCTAATGCAACTTCAAAGAAACCTAGTTTTCGATAATTTATGATGCACCAGAGGTAGGACCTGACACTGCCTCTGGCGCAGAGATAGTCGTCGCGGATATGAATTAAACAAAATAATAAGAACTATTTGAAATCGCGAATGTTCGTTCGGACAAATAGAATAAGCCCTCAGGTGTCAGTCAAACATGACACGTATAATAAAACGTAAGAGCGCGAGCGTAGCGTCTTCTTTTGTTTATGAAAAATTGGTTTTTTTAAAAGTCACGTCAGAATATAAAAAAAAAATTGTTCAAAGTATTAACTTATTTTATTAAACTGGTGGTAGATAAATCGTTATTTATGATGTAAGCTATCTAGTGAGATTGCTGTGTTTTATAAATAATCCCGTATATGAATACGTTACGTCACGTTATTAAACGGCAAAATTAAATAGTACCTATTATTCATAACATACAAACGATAAGAGAGCGTGACCGGGTTTAGTTAGGTTATATCAGAAAGTTATTTGGACTTACACAATACTACGAAAAAGGAGTAGGCGATGGAAAATTAAGATTCTGTTAGCTGCTTTGCCTAAAGTGAAAAAAGTTCAATATTGCATTTCATATTTAGTTCTAAATTTTATAATTAATTAATGCAAAGGTTATTGGTTTGTCTAAAAAATAGTTTGATTTTAATAGGCGTATTTGATATGTGTTGATTCTCAGAAAAATATGTAGAGATGAATGAAAAAGTGATATTACTCTATTTTATTTTCATTCCAAATGAAATTATTTATTTTCTGTTATTTTATGTGAATTATTTTTTTTGTTATATATTTTTAATTAAAATTTTCAAATCTATTGTCGTGTCGGTGTATATGGTATATTTCATTAAAAATGACGTTATTAGACGACCACACTTAAACATTTTTTTTTAAATATTAAGTACCTGAGAATCTTAGTGATTAATCCATAATTATATTATAAATGCGTTAGTGGTGTATCTTTGTTTGCGCATTCTGAATCAAATTAGAACGAGTCCTGTTTTGATAACTGTAAAGTTTAAAATATAACGCATTTAGTGAAAGTTTCATTTACATTCGACAGCGGTCAAAAGCTCGGATCGCTCAATGGCGATTGAAACGTTCTGATTGATCGACATTTGCCGCGCTTCATAATTTATACTCCTGCGCAGGTACAAAAGTTAGTCATATGAATTGTACTGCAATTATATTTGTCTGTCTTTGGCAAATATGATATTAATCGAGGCGTGAACAAATTAATATTTTTCTCAGGTATTTAAATATTGGTATCGTTTATATTATTTTCTTTTCGTCTTTGATCTCTGTGGATTGTAATTGTGGTCTCGTCTTGTTTCCAAATTCCATGACCTAAACTATGGCGCTGTTTTTTTTTTCGCCAAACCAATAAATTGTGTTTTACGAAATATATGTATTTATAATTTATTACACAAGTATAAAAGCTGGTCGCTATAGTTATGTATGTCTTGCTGTATGTTAATTTTGTGATAAATTTAATCTACTTAATGAGTTAGTTATTTTATGAAGTGTAATAATTTTGAGTTGATGTTGATGTTTCGTACTTTTATATATAGTAACCAAAACACGATAAATCGAGAAAAAATGTTAACTTTTGTATTTTAATCTTAGTTCTCTTCTTGAGTTAGGTAGCGTTGTGCAATATCAAGATAATCGTTCTCGATAAGAATTCGTTAATTTTAGTACTAAAACTTTACTACGTAACCAGAGCCCGTAACAAGCAAGGTTATGAATGCAATTAAATCGACATTGATTTTGAAAAAAATATGAAGAAAACACGATCGGATCGCGTTTGGGCGTAATGAAAAATGTTCATTGATTTTAAAATTTAGTTTTCTTTATTTATTAAAAATAAACAAACGCAAGTAAAAGAATTATTTCGATACGTCACTTACTTTCCGAGATATGGAGTTTTAAAGGGAGCGCCCCCCCCACTTACAGCGTATGACGTCATAATAAGCTTCTTTAGAAGTTAAAGAATATTTTCAAAATTTTATTGTAACCAAATGTACAAATACAACCACCATTGCATGCCTACTAACATTCCTTATTATAACGTCCCGTCAAAAGGACGCCAATACAAGTCTCCGTGTATTAGAAAGTCAATAATTATAGGTACTCGTATATGTCATAAGTAGTACAAATGTCTTCACGGAATTATATACCTAAAAAGAACGGGTATTTTTTAACTTAATGGCTAATTGATGAATAGTTAGATAATATTCTAAATACACCAGTTCAATGTAATTTTGTTCTACTCTATGTATAAGTTACATCTGCTATATAAACATCACGTTAAGTCAAGTTACAATATGAAGGGATATATAATTCAAGGGTTTTAAGATTATATATTAGTTCTTTTGTATGTATTATTAATAATGACGTATTGGAAATTGTATGATCTTATGTTTGAAAATTCTCATTGAAAATTCGTCTGTTTAGTTTACCCGAAAAATACTTGATAATCTTATTGAGTACATATAAAAGAACTATGTGGATAATTTAATAGTTACATAAGAATTATGTGTTAGTGGTGTATGACATTACCACAACGTAGTTAAATGTAATATATTTTATCAATTTTGTTATGTGTAATTATTAAATAAAGGGGGTTTTTACTGAGATGTTCATTTCTTTTTAATTTTACAACTTTAGAGTCATCAGGCCTTCCTTGTTAACGACTACAAATGCAGTCGGCACTATCGGTCTTCCGAAGCACGAAGTAGCTCAAAGTAATAATTTTTTGGCCACACATCCCATGATCGACCATTACGAAAGTAGCTTAACAACAAAGATCAAGAGCTGCAGCGCTTATCCACTATGACGAGCTACCCTTTACAGAGCAACTTTACAGTACCTAGCACGAATACCCAGTGGTGGACAAACCCCGTCGCGTCGAAGGCCCGGGGCGGGTTCAGGCCTGGACCTACAACTTCATTTATGATTTGGTCAAGAGAATATGCAGCCATTTGGAGGCCGGGGCGGAACGACCCCCTTCGCTCCCCTCCTTAGTTCGCTACTGCGAATACCTAAAAATATGAGCCTAAATACATGATTAGGTTATGAATTAAAAAGGAATAAAAAATAAATAAATTGTTTGCAACTTTTATTTTAAAATTCACAATTCTATTTCATTTCAGGTAAGTTACGTCCATCTATTTGAAAATATAACAGAAATAATAAATGTAATTTACAATGAAACTTAACAAACAAAAAACATGGCTTGCTCGTATAGGAACTCGGGACTATTTACAAAAATAAAAATATAATCACATTAAAAATCGGTCCTATCAAAATAAAGACGAAATACACCAATATGTCCGTGATACCTTTGTATTATTAAATAGCATTTAACACTGAAAAATGTAGGGCAAATGTATAAAAATTTAAAATACATTTAGGATTGAAAAAATTGCAACAGTAGCCTTTGTATCTATTTGCCTTTGAATATGTTTAACGTTATCTTCTGTGTTTATGAAATGATAGCCATAAACTATAAAGATTAAAGACTATGAATTGCCACTTTTCTTTATCTCCCGAACTACCAATTAACAATATCTGTGCCGCTTCTAAAATTGCGATTTCTCCCTGTTCATAGCAAAACTGAAAACATGGCGTTGCTAGACTGACGTACACTGAGCGATGACGTAAGCAAGTCAAGCAATAGCATTCGCCAGTATAAAATTTATATTTTTATCATAAATGAATATTGTATTCTTTACGTGAAAAGGGTCAATGTCCAAATAATTCATTTACACTACATAATCAGACGTTTCAGTGTCGTTAAAATGACGAAACAGATAATTGAAAATACATTTCAATACGTTTTTAAAAGTATATCTTATCAAAAAGACAATGTTTAAATTACATCAATAAAACACAACAACATATAGTAGTAGACAATATTTTGAAAACGCGAGCGTTGGAATAGCATTCTATATATCTATGGTTGGAATGGTGCTTAGGAATAAATATTTGTACTAAGTAAGTATAAGCGATATATTTGTATGTCTTTCTGTACTTTTTCGAGGAACTACATCTATTTTAAGCTTGACCAGAAATGTTTAGATAAGTTTAACTTTTTTTTTATTTAGAAATTTAATAATGGCGCCTGCTGGCACCAAAAACATTCATAAACTAAGTTGAAAAACAATAACAGTAAGTAAATGACATAACAAAATATGACTACGAACAGTATGTAATATTAGATTTTAAACAAGGTGCAATCCTTAAAAAAGCAAAGCGTAAATTTACAGAGAGATTCTGAAGTCTTTGCTACAGGATTTTAATTTTATTTTTAATATCCGAATATAACAATTATATAGTAATTCGAAATATTAATTTGAATAAAATATCCAAGTGGAAATTATAAATTTATCTATACATAACTGGTCAAGCTGTTTGTTTTGTTAATACCTATTATACGTATAAACATTATTCACATCAATACAAAGGTATAATACAGAAGTATAGCTATACGATTTTAAACCTTACCAACTTAAGTAAAACTAACAACAATAAAAAGATCAAACGAAATATAAACTTCTAAGTGCATAACAAGATACTAGTAGCGAATTATGTATAAAACTCGTAGCAATATGCTCTATCCATAAAACAGATGCAATCAAACCAAACAAAGCTAGGAATGGATGTAATTCAATTAAATACTTAAATTATGTATATCACTCTTAATGAAATTTCGTAAAAATCCACCAGCCATTCCCATTTCAGAGTATTTTTCATTAAAATATTTTCCAGTACAGCAATTTTTCAAAATTAATCAAATACAATAATTATGTATATCATTATTAATTTATCTCCATATTTGCAACTTTCCCTAATGAAAATGTAATATTAATTATGACATCATTGCAATAGAAACTTCAGAGTCAATGCTAAATCTCTATTGGCTAGTTGCAGTAGCAGAACAGATTAAAGTTCATATTATGTAGGACCCAAGTACATATTATTAAAGATCATGCAATAGACTACCCACAAAAATTCACCCTTTTTTAGACCAGAGGTTCGCAAACATTTTTTTCTCATAGACCATTTTTTAAAAATTGCTTGTTTCGGTCGACCCCCTGCTGCTGCTACATTTTCACCATATTTCCAAAAATTCGTCCTAACCCCTATTTTTATTTCATGCCAACGTAGACCCCTGGGGGCCACCTGGACCACTTAGGGAATCACTGTTTTAGACCATGCTGTGCATAAATTACTTAATTATACAGTTATTTCATCAGTCATATGGCATTAAATCTATAGAAGCTAGCAATAACAGAAAGTGTTTATTACGCCCTCTATCCGTTCAATAGGGAATTTTGTAGTTAACAATTCGTATCATATTTATACTTTATCCGCTACTATATCATTTTAGCAGTGCATAAAGCTTATACGATATACAAATATAGTATCAATAATTCTTATAATTAATAAGGTGAGGTAACCTTTGTATAATTGGAACTTTATAATCGTAAAATGCTGATATTAAATTAATTCTAATTACGATCTCGAGCTCGTATTGTATCCATCAAAAACATATGTCGAATAATTTTTCAATACTTGTTAAGTACAATCAATAAACAATATAAAATGAAAAGGCATTCTTAACGACCCATAAAGTACCTTTTTTTCTCAATTTATACCGATAAATAAAACTAAAACCATTGTTTATACTTGAAAAACTGCTTTGAGATCGAAATATTTTACGTTGTATAATATTTACTTATTATAATTGAATGATAAAAAATCATTAACCTTATGGATGTAATATGAATATTGAGATTAATTAAATGCAATGAAATGACACGAAAATTTAACAAACGGCTTGACACCTTATGGCTATTTAAATAAAATAAATTTTCCGATTCGGTGTACTCGCTGTAGATAATTAGTAAAACGAATCCGATCCAATTGCACATTGGGAATTAATAATGCAATTATTATAACACTATTGTATTAAAGCGTACAAACATACAGTGGACTAATGTCTTATGACCGAATGGAAAGTATATATTTTTTATTTAGTCAAACTAGATTATTGAGGGAAGAATAAAATATTTTCGAAGAATATCTAATACGCATTTATATATTTTATGCGTATTCAATAAATTAAGGCGATTCATCGAGTTGAAGTGTAGCATGACGTCACACCTTTTTACATTTTCTACATAGCTGAGAATGACGTAGCGAGCCTCACTACTGAACTTTAATGGTTATTATCTAAGCCATTTCTTGTTAAATTGAAGCTAAGTATCTATTTTTTATATCTGATTTACGAACTATATAGAGTACCTTTTTTCACTCAGGTATTTTACCTATTGAAATAAAAAGTATTTTTAATGACAAGTGCTCGAAAAATCTAAAAATCAGTGTTTGCAAGTAACAATGTACTCACTTTAGACATTAATGTTCAGGGTGTAAATATGTTCACACAATATGCAACAGAATTTGACTGTTTTCTTATTTGTCACCATGTACCACTTAAGACCATTTAACTTATATCTGATGACATAGGTTGACAATTATATCTGATATACGGAACAAAATATATATTTAAAGATAAATTTGTTCATAAAATATTTGAAACCAAAATTTTTTAACGTTTGATCGACAGAAAGTATGCAAATAACCCGTATATTATAATAAATTTCTAATAAATGAGGTCGCAATTGTATTAGAAAAAAAAGTCGTCGAAAGAATTAAGTGACATTAGCAATACACTAAACTTACTGCTGTTTGTACTAAATCAAATTGTTTACCATTATATACATGTAAAATATTTAGCAATGAAAACGATGTATCTTTTATACTAGAGTACATAAAAGCCATACCTCGGAACGTTACTTTCCTAGTAAGAGAGAGAAGATCGCGGTATTCCATCTGTCTGATTACGTTACATTATTATACTTCATCACTTTAAATTATTATTAAAAAAAAAACATGTTGTCTTTTACTATGCATACGCGAGTAAAGAGAAACTGATGGGTTACAGCAATGTTCTCTCTTTTTAACCACGTCACATTTTCATTTACAGGCAGTAATGTGTTATTACTCTTTAAATAGCTCTATGAATAAAACAGTGATTAAAAGAGGATGGGCAAACTTGTATGGAGTTTGGTCCAAGAAGTTCCACATTTGAAACATATGCCAAAGTAAAGGCCCATATGCTTACTTCAAAATGACAGAAGGGCATCAAAATTGGTCCCGGTGTTTTTTTTTTTTGCAATGTTATAAAATCAAAGTAACTAGGTTATTGCAACTAGGAACTATTGTGTACACACCCTGGTGCCTGTTTCATATATACCTATGATTTATGTTATTTATTGAAAATACCCCTGCGGGGCTATGAGACGATCATAGAGATCACTAATACTCGATTGCATAACGTCACATTGACTTGTCGGCTAATCTAGCTCTAGCCAAAGACTGACTCACGTGTCATATTCGTCCACGACGACGCGCCCCACTCTTTATCCTAATTGCTTACAGTGCTATTGCGTATTCATCTAGCAAATAGATCTTAGATAGAGATCGAAATACAAAAGAAAATGGTGGGGTGCGTCTTCGTGTATGAGCATGGCTACCGGTTTTGACGAGTACGCACTCATCTTGCGGGTGACGGGGGTTTGTTTGTGGCGCGGGTGAGAAGGTGAGGGGGGACAGGGTGATGCAAATGCTTTATGCGCTGCGTCGGCGCCGCCAAAAGTCGGCATTTTATTGTAAAATGAATTTAAAGTAGATAAGTACTAAGAAAAAACAAGGTAAAAATAATAAATAACGAATCTCTTAAAAAAAATCCCTCGGATGGATTTTAATCACGTTTAACATTATTTGTAGAGAAAAAAAATGTCTATCGATTGGTATTATTCTTATCGATGGAGGCTCTTGGACCACTTTTGCCCATCATCATTTGTCAAAATAGGAAATGAAGGATGAATTTAAACTCGTGTTCTTACAAATTTAGTATAGCAACATTGCCAATATGAATCATCATAAAACATAAGCGCGAATAAAATCCGCAGAAGAATCGTTTCAAACAAACCTTTTGCATGCAATTATTGATAGCAAACTGCAGAATCAAATCACAGGCTATTACCAAACATCATTCTATCATCGTAAAGGCTCAATCTGTTACTTTCACTAGCTCTGCCTTTTTGCAATGCACGATCTCGCCTTGCTCTCCTCACGGCGACCGGTAGATCCCCAGGAGTTTTCACCCGTCCAGCGGGATTCAGCAAATTCAAATCTCCGGACGACGTGAAAATTTCCGACACTTGCTCCAAAGACCTTTGCCTTTTAATAGAAAGACTTTTCAAAAACGGTTTAGGGGATTTATTCTCGGATTCCCCTAAATATTTCATATCTGTAGTATCTATTTCCCCGTTCAAAGCGGCCAGGTACACGGGATTATCGCCGCTATACCCCAAATTCTCTTTATCATTCGAATAACTGAATTCGTTGTCGAAATTGGTGTACTTGTTTTGGTATTTGTTAAAGCCGAAATCTGTCACTTGACTGGCTTCTTTCAGTACGTCGTTTTGGAATTTCTTCTTTTCGACATCCTTTGGGATCGCTTGCATAGTAATCTTTGAGCCACCGTTTTCGGATAATAGCATTAAATGTTCATCTTCACTACTGGAACAATCTGAATTGAGGTCAAATGGGCTGTCAAACGCGTCTTCTTGGTTATTAATGTACTGAAGTTCCAAATTTATGCTCGCACGAGATGATCCACCACTTTGGGTGATCTTATTGTCGGAGCTCAGTCTTTTCTTCACCGTCGAGTCTTCAGATTCCGAATGGTTTTTAAAAATACTCTGCGATGACATTGAGGTTTTAAACTTGTCAATGCTGTCGTCGCTGCTCTTAGCAGTTTTACTATGTGATTCCGCGTCCGGTTTCGCTTTCGGTACAATCACGGCGAAAATCTGACACTGGTTTTTAGCATCGTCGTTTGGTAACTCTCTGAAGCCGAAAACGTTATTCTCTCTATTCATATCGGACTCGATCATCATTGTTGGAGATAGAGTCCTATTGGGAGGAGATAAGGTGCAAGGCCCTTCGATGTTATATATACTATCCTGATTCAAAACCAAGTTCGAAGGCCTGTCAAAGTTGTTACATTTCTCTATTATGGACGTTTTCGTTTTGCCGTTTTGCGTAGAAGTTTCCGGCATTAATTTCACTTCGGTGTCCATTTTCTTGTTTAATCTCTCGAAGAATTTTCTTATACCCCATTTGGGTTTTTCTACTTTCACCTCCTGAAGGAGGTTAGTGCTTTTCGGACCTCGGTCTTCGTGAGAAGAGACGTCATTGGGGATATATTCTAGAGGTCTTTGGTAAGACCTTATCTCGTTAAGTCTATCTGAACTTTCGGGAAGTGGTCTATGAGTACGAGCGACGGAGAGACAGTTCTCCTCGACGCGTTGCGGTTTTACTTCTGTAGCGGTGATGTCTTTTAAACTTTTATGTATTAGTTGTACTGTATGCGACTGGGTGTTTGTGTGCGTGTTGCGTTCGATGCAAGCGTTTCGTCCGAATTCTGGGCGCGCTAGTAAAGGTGCCGCGGGGTCACTAGTCTGTCCGCTAGTACAGTTAGAGTTTTTATCCATTTCGGGAATATTTGTGTCTGAGAAATTAGTAATATATAATTAAAGTCAAGAATTACATTTGAATTCTAAGAAAAAAGAAACGTGAATCATGTGCATATGTTGAAGATAAAATAATTCAGAAACTCATTGATTATTTTTATTAACAAAAAGTTTAAATATATATCACTATTTATTAAATAATAGACCAAATGATTGATTGGTGATAAAATAAAAGAATAATATATGTAATGTCAAAATGTAAGATTCAAATGCTTCAGTTCACAAATATACATCAAAACAAAAATGAAGCAGAAATATTTATAACAAACCAAAAAATCATCAAATCAATTTACAAAAAATCTTTAAAAAAAATGGAACCGACTTCAAATTTAAAAAAGTGAAGTGATATTTTGATTTTTTTGGTAACAAACACCACGCATAATTAATGCAAATTTAAGATTTATATGGTTTTCTCATAGATGCCATTGTTAGATCTGGACCAAATCAGGTAACAGACAGTAAAAAAAATACAGTCGAATTGAGAACCTCCTCGTTTATTTGAAGTCGGTTAAAAATAAACATACTTAATTTCATCGAACGTAAGAACGAATGAATGAATGGACTCACCGGGAGGATGCGGATGTAGCTTGTTATCGTGTATCACCGGACCCTGAGTTTGAAGCATTTGCTTCAACTCAGCCATTCGTTCCTCCACACAGACCGCAGTTAATCTATCAAAAACGATAAACATTACACGAAATTGCAACAATCATGGATACATCATCTTCACTAGCCTATGAATGTCCCCAATTGTGGGGAACAGGTCTTCCCTATAATTGGAATAGACCGAGAGCGGATTAGTGGACGTGGGCGGGGGGGGGGGGGGGATTGATACTGATTTTTTACTATTATAATACGTATTTATGTTAACTTTATAAATTGTTTACTCATTTCAATACTTATAAATGGCAAGTTAGTCAAAGAGTAACATTCAATAGTCCCTGAAACACTCATACATACAACACTCATACATTCAATAGTATGTATTGGACGAGTGGTTCCTAAATTTGACCGGGTTCAGAGTCCAAATACATCTAACAAAAATTTACAATCTTAAAACCCAGCTATATTAGAGAAAAGAGGACATAAAAAATCCCTAATGGCAAGTAATGGAACTTACCTATAGAGCTTACTCAATATTCGCTCACGACCAATAGTTTGGGAAACAAATAAACTAATTAGTTTATTTATTTCTGTATCTATCCATGAAACAATAAACTATTAAAAATGAGGTGTTTGTTACCTGGCTTCAGCATCATGATCCCAGCACTCTTCACAAGTGTCTGTGGCGATTTTCAGAGCTCTCGTTTCGGGCACTGGTCCTTTTGGTAGGGGTGGCCGAGATTTGTTGCGCGATACTAGCGTCTATGTGCGTAAACATAAGCTTCACTTTAAAATAATGCTGTAACATCATCCCAATATCGATGCGTATTGAAGTCGTTACTCAATATCGTATATTAAAAAATATGTATTTATAAATTTCATATAGAACCGAACTTAATTATGATTAATGTCATATTAAGCAATTGGTTGGTTAATACAGGGTTAGTTGTAAAACACCAATGATCTAGCAAGACGAGACAGCTACAATCATAAATAACAGCGCTTGTTCGATGAATTTTGATAATGAGGTATATGTTGCTTTCATAAAAATAACATGTTAGTTTGAATGCCTTTCGATTGTAAAAAAACCTACGCACATCACCAAGTACATGAGCGCGAGAGCGTGTCCTATTAATGTCATGACAGTATACAAACCAAAAAAATAAAGCATTTATGTTCAAAGCATTGAATAATGATAAAACTGGTAACTCAATAAAACCTAATCCTGTGAAGTAGCTGGTGTTTAATAAATAACCCTGTATATACAATCACAATTAACCAATTCTACTGTAATGGAAAATATAACACTAACACATGTGGTATACAAACTTTTCGAACATTTTGTCTTTTGGAAGTGTTCCTTCCTATATCAAAATATCCAACATTTCATCTATAGATAGTATAAAACAATTTTCCGCTATCTGTATGCTGATTTATTTTTAACCAGGGTTCGCAAAAATCCGATATTTATAATAAAAATATCCGATATATAAGCTGCTAGTGGCTTTATTTAATATTTGATCTTTTAAATCAAAAGTGTAAAATAAAGACTGAGTTTGAGTCATTTAATATTTATTAAAAAAAAAGTAGTATGCGTACAAGGATTTCCAGTAACGTATAGGGGAAAGCCCGAAATTTCTATTAAGTAAAAATGCTACTTCGGGCCAACGTTGCTAGCCTCACATCAGGTTGACTAATTTTGTAGCTGACACTGAATACTCAAACTAACAATAAATATCATAAATATCAAAGGATATAATCATTATATATATGATGATATTTATCAGCGAACCCCGTTTTAAAGTATACAACGGATTTCAATGTGGTTTTCATTAATATACAGAGTAATCAAGAGGAAGGTTTGTATGTGTAATAGGGGACCACGCGGACGAAGCCGCTGGCAGAAAGCTAATAAAAAGTAAAAATGGTACGGCCGTCTCCTATTTACTTTTTTGCTCAACTTGCCGAAGGCACTTCCGTGCCCCCAGATTACACTTTCAAAGTTATAATTATTTTTCTATGCTCACTACTCTGTGAATGACAGTTAACGCTTATAAAAAAAAAACCTACATAGGAACTTCAGAAAGTTGCAATAATAAGTCGTGTTGGTACCTGCATCTGTTGCAAGGTAGGTCTGTCGGGCAATAGGTGTCCGTAGGGCTGCATGTACGTGGGGGCGGAGCCCGGGTGGGCCCCGGAGCACCGCCACAACGATTCCCACAGCACCAGACCCAGCGCGAATACATCCACAGCGCATAAAGCAGCGCGAGCCCCGCTCAGATCTAAAGCGCCTTCTAACGCTTCTGGCGATAAGTACCGTAACGTACCAGCCTGATAAAACGAATTATTAGATAAACAGTATACGAGAACGGTACAGACACCAGTCTAATATACTTACTTAATTGTACCTATTTATTTAGATTTTAAGATGTTATCATATTATAATATAATGTGTGTTTGAATTAATTAAATATTTTTTATTGTTCAGTTGACTGAGAAAGTGGACTACCAGTTTTGATAAAACATTATATGAGATCTAATTGATGCTAAGGTTGCCTTTCTAAAGGAGTGTAGATGCTCAATATTGAGCGATGTTCTGTTATTTGAGATGTCTGATATTTGAATGGTACTGTCATAATTTATTACAAGGGAAAATCTATCTTGGTCTTTCATAATGTTCAAATGAATCTCCAAAATCCGTATGGTGGTAGAAAAGAGAAAAAAATGACTAGAATGCAGTCATTCCCAATTTATATTGGAAAAGCGAACCCTTTTCTCAAATGAATTAATACCTGATACTCCCATAGCCAGATTCAAAATACTTTCTCATTTTTTTTTCAAACTATATTAATACTTTAATAAAAAAAAAATCTCATTGAAATTTAGCGAAATTAACAATTATACAGAAATAGACATGCATCATCTTGAAAGTTCAAGTGTTAAAATAATGAAAATCGTTTTGTAGATCTCGTCGACGCCAAATCTTTAATGTCGACCCAAAGGGAATCCCATTGTGACCCCAGAGGGTCGATATGGAACTTTAGGAATAATTGATTTACAATTAGGAACATAGTACCAAAAATTTGTGTTTATTCGTACTCACCTCAGTAATCCTACTGGGTTGCTTTTCCCTTCTGGCGTGTAAAACTTGCGCTAGACCCAAGTCAGCTAGTCTCGCTTGTCCATTGCTAGTGATTAGTACATTGTTACTGTTAACGTCGCGATGCACGATACACGGCTTGTTGCCAACTGAAAAATTGTCAAATGACCAAAAATTAATAACAATGTGTGTCTGGTCACGTTTTCACGCCTAATCTACTGTACCAGTTTTAATGAAATATGATAAACAGATAGAATAGACTTTTAGAAAGGACTTATTATAGTTTTTATGGAGAAAAAAACCTTTAAGGGTTTGAAATTATGTATGAAGTGCTGCCATCGTCGAAGACGAAATTTTGTATTTATAGTCGAGTCGCGTTAAGAAAATAGTGAGTCATCGTTGTCCGCCGGCCTAGCCACGCCCCCCAGCCAATTAAAATGCTTGAAATTAGAAAGTCGAGTTCACAGTGACCAGTTGAAGTCTGACCAAAATACACAACCGTTTTGTTCGAATGGTTGTGTATTTTGCGTGACTCGATCAACAATAAATTTTGAAAATGAATACTTCACCAATTCGAAAGAATAAAAGTGGATCAATAATCCATAGCGGAGAGTGACGCATAATTTACAATGTTTATAAGTACTTTGTGTGATTTAAATGCAACTGTGGAGAGCATAGTCATAAAAAACAGCAAATGCATGCGGTGTGTCTGGTTATAAGCACTGGATAGGAAGTAAATAAATAGTTTTATTAGTGTTCTTTGACATTTTTGTAAAAATGGGAGATAAAAACCGAATTTAACGTGGGCGAAGCCACGGACGGACATTATTATAAGTGAAGTAAAGTAAACTCACCAGGCGCGTGGAGGTGAGCTATAGCGGCTGCCAGACCGTGAGCTATAGCCGCGTACTCCCGCCACGAGAGGGGAGCTCTCTGTAAACGGTCACGTAACGTTCCGACGCACAGTTCTAATACAACGAGCCGCGAACGACCGCAGTCCGTCAGTGATGCGCGGGTGTCGCTACCTGTATATGAGAAAAGGGGTGATGACTGGGTAAAAAAAACTCGACTGCTAAATCATATTGATAAATTATCTACACTTTACATGTAGGGGAGGTACCCTAAAAAAGAATTTTGATTACTGTTATGTGTTTAGTGATACTCGCAAGGTTAAGACAAATCGTTTGACGTATAAATCATCAAAATTGGTCAAGCCGTTTGGTCTTTACAATGCCATATAAGAAAAATTACACTCTTTTGTGTTGCGCAGTCGGGTAAAAAAGCCTGTCAGTCAGATAATAGAAAAATATTAGATACATATTTTATTTTACTTCAATTTAACAAGCAATAGCTTAGCTAACATTTAAGTTGAGAAGTGGGCGCTGCTACGTCACAGTTTTGTAGAAAATGTACAAAAGAGTGACGTCATGTGACATTTTAACTGAATGTACCGCCGTAATTTAATGATTGCGAAAACAAGTGTTTAATATTTTTCAACTATCTACCTGACGGACAAACAAAAATATATTTGTTGTTATCCCTATTATCTGAAGATGTATTTAAAAAAAAGTTCTTCAGATTTAGCTGTCTATCGGCAAGTTGCACAAACGTCCATTAGGGTTCAATGACGCCTTTAAGCTCTAATGAATGTCAAATTTGTATGGGTAATGCCATTTTAAACTAGTGACAAAATTGATGGACATTTGTGCAATTGGCTGTATTTCAATTAAATAGATACTGTAGATACCGTTGGCATTAAATAGATACTGTATACCGCGAGTGTTTATATAAACGTTTAGTGCACATACTACAACTTTAAAACTATGGAATGGGTTAATAATGACTTTTCTTAAAGGATGGAGTTATTCGAGGAAAGAATAGGTGTATTAATTTACTAAAAAAGACACGTCTATTAGAAGAATATAAAACAACATTTTTTAAAGCATAACATTTTTCATATAATTGTATGTTATTAAATTTCTATTATACCTATCGTCACTAGCCATTCAAAATTATATTTTCTTATTTTTAATGAAACCACAAATCGTTGTTTCTATAAAGAGTAGGCATTTTTATTATAAAAACACATTCAAGGGAAGGTTTGTGCTGATTTTTGGTAACTAATCAGTGATGATTTGAGTTGATGTAAGTATTGAGTTGTAATTCTACAGGCGTACATACGCTGTGTTTGCGACTCTGTGGGTTTTATACTAGCGGATACTTCACTCCATACCCCGGGGGCTCGCGGCCACAAATTGAGAAACACTGGCTAAGATACATGACCGTAACATTCGCCGTGGTTAGGCCTGGACGAGTTTATACTCGTTCGGGGTTCACGGGTTCGCTGCCACAGATTTAGAAACACTTACACACAACACACTGATAAAGTACATAATATGAAATAAAAAATATGAGTTTGACATACCATAATACTTCAATATGTTGGGATGAGAAAGATGAGGCAACGCGTATATTGCCGCCTCTTTCTGCCACGCGTTTGCATTGGAATACAATTTCACCGCGACGGGAGTTGAACCCAGACTGCCTCGCCATACTGACCCGAATTTTCCTTGACCTGTGTACAAAATATTTTCTTTTTGTTTCATTTTATTATTAAACATTTAAGATTGGCCTATGTAAGTCAATTAAGTACATTACATCAATAATATAATTTTGAAGAAGTTAAGAGTCAATTATAAAAAATATGCATGGTTCATTTCGCTGAGTAATTTATGTTTAAATAGTTGTCAAGTGTTTTGTAGTTAACCCTGAAATTATTTATGTGAACTTACCTATTGTTTAATTATTACTAGCTTCCTTATTTTTATACACAATTTGTTTTTTGTCTTGATATAAAATTTAAAAAATTTTCATTTGAACAGTTCAATATTTTCACAAAGCAGATACCTACACCTAGGATATATTGATCTTTTCTATTTTCTAATACTAGTTATCTGGGCTAACACGCAGTCGTGTAATACACGATTATGAGTTTTAATTCACAAACTCAAAAAGGGGTCTTTCAATTACTAATGCGGGATCGAACGAAATAGCAGGTGAGATAAAGTGGGGATAATATTTTGAAGTGTAAATATTTGTTCAGAATGCTATTAGAGAATCTGGACGTGCGATTGCAAAAGTTAAGCATCTTTCCCAAGGATCGATCATAGGATGGGTGATCAATCTACAATTTTATTTCCTCCATGATACAGTGAAGAAATTGATAAGCTGATGAAGATAAACTAGTACTAATGTCTTACCTATGTGTTCTATCAAAGTCAAATTATCGACGCAGAGTAGACCCGTGGCTAATGCATCAGGTCCAGTGCCCATTATATCACCTTGAATAAAAAATCGTAGTATTTTAGTGACGTTATTATGTATTTGATTTTGAATATTATAACTATAGTTAAAAATGTTATGAGTTTTCAAAGGATCTGATACTTAATAAAATCTAATAAAATTCATAAACCTACCCTTTTAAAGAGCCTACATACCTTTCTCTACTTGACCAGCAAGACTCAATTCCTGTTTATCAGGTGCACTCCTCTTGCAGTACAGTTTCCTGATCAGCACTATGGTGACCACAATGGCAACTATTGCCAGTATAACTGATGCCACCACGCGCGAGTAGTTCGGTCCAGGGTTCACTGTATTCATTGTTGATTCAGCTTTGATAGTCACCGTCTCCTCCCTTAGTGACACTGTCAACGATTGAAGATTTAAGGGGTCAATCAGGCGCAGAAACAAACAACACTTTAGTTTAGAGGCTATCTATAAATAAGGTCACACATTTTTTTACGCGGGCGCGAACGCATATGTATATTTTCATACACCATAGATTTTAGAATGCGATTAGATCTTTAGCATTTTTTTTTTATTTATTAAGAAACTCGACAGCTTTCTTTTAACAATCATTTTGTTTTCACTTGTATACAGCGTGTTTGGTAAAACCTGTATAATCCCGAATATGGCACACACGGTATGATGAATAGAACCCAGAAAAATGATCACTAGGTCTGAAACACAGCACATGACCTAGATATTTAGCTTTTTTTCTTCGAATTAAAACTGTACGCTGACAACCACAAAAACAGCTGTTGTGTTGTATTTGGTCATCGACTCCATGTGCCGAACTAGTTTAAAAAATAACAGAAGTCTAATAAATCTAAAGATAAATGCCTAGAATAAATATGCACCCGAGAGTAAATTTGTTCAAAAAACAAAGAAATAGTAGTAAATGATTTTTCACCATAAAAGAACGCCAATCTTGTGATTAACGTTGTTTCAAAAACTATTATTAAGAAAACTTCTCTAATAATACAGTCAAAATAATTAATTGAAGTTAGACATCTGCACGACAGAGACATAAAATCGACGACGATGTGTATTGAGAAACTCGGGTTTCTGATGTGTCAGTAAGGTTCTGTAGATTAATTGTTTTGAAGTTTTGTTCTTTTTTTCATAAGCAGTGTTATTTTCACGAAACAATAAAACACGGACTTATACAATGATATTAATAATCTAAATATCTCGTTTATTCTTAGTTTAAATGATAATTAAATAAAGGTTAGTTGTAATGGAAAGGTCTAATAATAAAAAATATTTCTTTTCTTTTCTAATTTAATCAATAATTTTTTATGCCTTATAATTTTGTTAATGACTTGGTCTTAAATTAGGTCACCACTTTTAATATTATGGCCTTTTTTCTTTTGTAACCGTGAAAAGCGTAAATAAAATTGTAATACAGTAGAGCGTTGATTATCCGAACATCGATCAACCGAACGACCGCTATCTGAACTTCCGACTCTCCCTTCAACAATATTCAATTTCTATAATATTAAATCTGATGACTAATAAAACTGATACCACTTCATCTACTGCAAGTTCAGATAATGAAGATGAAAACATAATTGGTGCTTCAGAAGCGTTTACATGCTTAGATATTGCTTTGCGTTAGTTTGAAACACAAGTCGAGAACGACCAGTATCAAATATATGTCCGTATAAAATATGTGACCTAGCCGCTCGTAAACGGGTAGGCTTGCTTCGGCAGACGAAAATTGAAGATTTTTAAGCATTAGTAAATTACACTTAATGCTCTTCGATTTTCGCCAATATTGTACTTAGAATGTTTTGTTGCAAATACTTCAGTTTATTTGTTTTTTAATTCCTATTTTTCAATAAAGATATAATTATGAAAATCGATAAAAAAATATGTATGGCTATATCAATACAGAAATAACCGAAAAAACCGGTTTTCCGAACACCCCTATCCCCCCATTAGTTCGGATAATCGACGCTCTCCTGTAATAAGTAAACAGCCTAATTATCAATTTCCTCAATAAAAAAATAGTATAATAAGTTACCTTGAAATTTCATTGTTTAATTAAATAAAAAATAACGATTTTTTATTAGGTAGGTTACCTAACACAGAATTTGATGACGCGGAACCCTTCATCGGTGCACTTTTGGTTTAGGTACATTGGTGTTCGAGTTGCAATAATTACCTATGTAGTTTTGGTCATCGCTTCAGTCGCATCTGAGACTTTATTCGGCGTACTTGTGAGTTTTCAGAATTTAGAAGGTCAACTTACGTTTTCGTTCTTTCGTGACTTTTGGTTTGTTTTTCATACTCGTTCTGTTTACCTGTGTGTTGTCTTTGTGTGCGTTCAGTGCAATGAATTCGTACTCAAATGCCTAATATTACGAGATGATAATGTGTTTTGGTGCTAGTGACGGTAATATTGCTGCGGCTCGGCGGCTTTATGACGAGCACCACGTGTCAGGAAGATCTGAAAACCTTCGACGTCTTCCTTCTTACCGGTGCTTCGCGGCACTTGTGAATCAAGAGAGAGAGAGAGAGAGAGCGAGTACGCCGGGACGGCACGTGTTATCTTACCACAATATGTAAAATTTCCTCAATCAATTATGTACTGTACACGCAATATAATAAGTACTATATTACAGTACTATATAACATGACGTACTGTAAAATATTCTTGGGATTCGTAATTATCAAGATAATATTTTTTTTGGATAATTATCCGATATATACCTGATAATTATCCATAGTTACTGGCAACAATTTTTTAAATACAGAAAGGCATTCATAAGTGAATAACTTTTTTATTTGTCGTTTTCAATTATAAAAATTATCCAAACAAAACAAATTTACTGCGTGAATACACATTCATAAATAACAATATTTTTTAATAAAAAGGGTCTTTTAATATTTTATTGATGGTTGTTTAAATAAATTACAGAAACAGTTTGTGTAGTGTCTTATTATTATGAAGATAATTATCAAGGTATAATTATCAAGTTAATTATTATCAATGATAATAGGGATGACGATTGGGTAAAAAAAAATAATTTATACATATTTAATCCGTCAGTCAGATAATAGAAAAATATTAGATACGTATTTTTTTTTCTTCAATTTGAACTTTGTTATTAAGCATTAAAGTTGAGGAGTGGGGGCTCGCTACGTCACAGTTTTGTAGAAAATGTACCATAGCGTGACGTCATGCGACATTTCAACTCGCCGTAATTTATTGAATACGTGAAAAATAAAAAAAAAATACATATTTTATATTCTTCAATAATCCACCTAACGGACAGAAAACAAAAATTAGTCGTCATCCCTATTATTACTCCAAACCCTGTTCTTCAGACTTGAACTTTTTATTACACCTATTAGTCTGTTGCCTGCATGTGCCATTCCAACCGTGACACCCCTGGCGTCCAAAGTTCTATATACTCGCGTGTTAATAGCGACGATGAGCGAAACCATTGTCGACCCATCCATATAGGCAAACTTGGCAACTGCCTAGGGCGCTCGTATTTTGGGGGCGACATGACATGGCTAACAGATTATTGTTTTCTCTAATTATTTGAACCTTAAAAATGCAGTACCTTAAAAATTTAGTTTTGTTGTTTGAACATATGAGTCTATGTCCGCGGTATTCAAATTTTTTAGACCAGCAGACTCTAAGGAGTTTCTTTTATCATTTACAAAATTTAAACTCTTTAAATGGTGTCTTTTATTTTGTTGTGATTTTTATTTGTGTTTGTGTAGTGTTTGCCTAGGGCGTCAAGTTACATTGAACTAGCCCAGAGCGAGACAATTTCATTTCTGTATAGCGGAATCATTTTTGTCGTATTTTACAATCGCGAAAAACTTATCAAGTAGCGTCGCACTCTTGCTTTAGCGAAACCTTCTTTAGTTGGTAATGAATATTAATATCATGTTATTTATCGTTAAATGTTTATTGATTCGGGTGAAATTATTCGCATTCCAATCGATAATATGACAATTAGCAACAATGATGAGCGCCATGGGGCGAAAACAAGTGGGCTGTTGTTTTCTCATAATAGCAAAATTTTTTATTAGCAACCACCATTAATATAATGAGCTCTCTCTTTAGCTGTTATTTGTTACTGTAAATACTAACTATTTTATTGTTACCATACTTCAGATTACAAGTATCTAATCCTAAATAAAAGGCACCATAACAATCGAACTAGTTACGAATTGGGAGCTGCCTAAAATCAGCAGGTTTTAATTTGAAAGATTATATTTCTTTTTACAGACATACTTACAGAAGTCCGCGTTGCAATAAGGCTTCGTACAGCAACAGAACTTGGTACTTTCCATCTGATCAATTGGCGTGCACTTGTCACAGGTGTTTTGTCCATCACGCTGAGATGAATGCCAGCATCCTAGACGATTTATGTTTATTTTAAAACTATGATTAATTAATTTTCAGTTGTGTACGGAGAGAAGCATCACTATATACTGAGTTTTACGCATGGACACTTAGAGTAGTTTGTTTTACTTAAGACAGTTTCTGCTTGTCGAAAGCATTTGTGAAAAACTATACACTATGTCATGAAGAGTTTTTTGTCTATGGGTACAAGAGGTTCTCAAATTTTCTGTATAAGTATTATGTATTTCCGGCCTTAACTATGTATATAAGAAGCGATTTCAACGTAATTTTTATTTGATGAAATATACCAAAATGATCCCACAGAAAAACCTTACCAAAATTGGTTCATCATTTTTGTTTTTATATCGAAATATTGTTCTAGGTATGTTCGATGGCGCAGTGTTAGTGCGTTCGGTCAGAGATGCGAAAGTCAAGCAACTTTCGTAACGGCCAGTCATAAGATGTTTCATAAGATTTTTCGCTATGAGGTTCGAAAGGTAAAGTCGTCGGTCTTATCTGCATCTGCAGTCTTAACACTCACCATCCGTACTGGCCTATTCAATTTAATTTTATTCCATGAAGGCCTTAGTAGTGGTACGGCATTAATAGGCGGATGATGATATCATGGAAATAATCATCATCACAGTAACTTGTAACCAAAAGCTGGTTTTATATTAAAAAAAAAAAAATATTCTATTATACAAATTCCTACCTTGCCCTAAGACAGTGACATTTCCGTCTTGGTTACGATGCCAGAGTGCATAGCATGTTGCTCTAATGTCAGTGCACTGTTCCACAAGAGCGGTTTCTCCATTAGGTAGAACTGATTCTGATATGACTCCAATGTCTAAAAAACATGACCTTTTGAAATTATTCAATATGATTACATTATTTCTTTTTGACAAGCTTGATGGCCTTGGTTAGCAAGTTGGGTTCCCATATGGAGTTCCGAAAGCATGTACTGCAGGCCCAGTAAACAGTTATTGGTTATTCAATCCTAAACTTGATTTGTTTTGAGCTTCTATATGCTTCAGAAGACACTTTTAGGCCATTGGTCTTGTAAATACCCACCAATTAGCCCTGGACCCACATGAATCATGGGTTGTGGCTCAATTCACCTTTTTGTTTCCAACAATAGGGAAGATCAATGCCCCAGGAGTAAATACAATAGTGGAAATGTACCAAGGACGACCAAATAAATGGTACAAATTATTTGGTAAAACAGGGAGGACTTAAAACAGTTCACTGGAGGTAATTATAAAGGTTTACTGATAGAATATTAAGTCACAATGACAAATAATTATCAGTGTGCATATGCCTTAAATGTTCATTTTAGGGTTCCGTAAAATGGGAACTCTATTACTAAGACTTCACTGTCTGTCTGTCACCAGGCTGTATCTCATGAACTGTGAAAGTTAGACTGTTGCTGCTTCAACAATAAATATTAAAAACCAGACTAAAAAGCATTTAAGGGGCCTCCCATACAACAAAAACTGTTTTTTTTACTTGATATTGATAATGTTACAGAATATATGTTTATATAGTATCTTTAAAAATAAATTATTAAATTATATTAAAATTAAAAGAGATATTTAAGGGTAAAGTGCAAAGAAAAATATGTATATTGTATGGGAGCCCCCATATAACAAACATGATTTTTTTGGTTGTTTCCGGTCAAAGAATTGCTTCAATGGAAACACTGAACCAATCATAAGCACACATGTACGGAATCATCTGATTTTTTATTTTAACTGTCATTCATGAGAGACGGTTATAAGCAATTTCTTTTGTGCACTAACTCACTAACATTTGATAACAGCTTTATAGTTTGTTTTCATATTGAGTTTTACAATCAATTTGAAAATCAAAAATATAAAACCTACCATGACTGTTATTTTCCACCATAATCTGAGCATTCTTTTCATCTTTGTAAGAAGGTGTTACACTTATAGATACTCTATGGAGTTTATATAAGCATTGGATGGGTGAACCGGCTGTTGTAAAAATATTTTTTTCTTTACTCCTATTACTTGTGATTAATCCATTTTTGCCATTACTTGTATCTTTGTTTGATGTACCGGATGCAATAATTTTAGTTTCATGATATCCTACATCAGAATCAACAAATTGTTTTAACACTTTTTTTGATCCAGTAAAATCATTAATAACACCAACACTTCTTTTTTTATTCCTTGGAATTATCCTATAATGTTGCACCTCACCACTGATTAAATTTGAATAAGGAATATTCCTTTTTTTTCTAATAATCTTTGGCTGAGCATGTCCTGGGTATCTTGACTTTTCAGGCCAATAAAAATGAGTATCAATACTTCTTTTGCTTTTTGGTAAATCTTGTGATGGCCAGTATAATTCATGAGGGTTATTCCACTGTATGGTTCTTCTATGGTGATATTTAGTGAAAGTCCTTACATAATGTGATGGCTTTGAGTGATGTAAGTCGCTCCTGAAGTCTTGAGATTCTTGAGGGCGCGATGTGAGAACTTTAGCAGTAAATATAAATAAGAATAACACTATACATTTCAGTAGAGGTGTAACTTTTTGAGTTAAGATACCTTCCATCATCTTGAAAGTCTACAACTGTTCTACATATTTTTTTACATGAAAAGAAGTCTGTCTACTGCATAGCCGTAATTTAGAACCTAGCAACGACTACAATGCAGATTTTATTGATTTTTCAAGTCATTTTCTGTCAATGCATATTGGTATTTTTCATGGCAAATATTCTAGTACTTGTACTTGTATTTATATTTTAAAACTTATAATTAAAAATCACTAATATATTAGCTTGAACTTTTTACTAAATATAGATGAATATTGCTGGTCCTGATCGTTTTCGTTTTATTTTTACACTTTCACACTTTTTAAATGGCTTGTGGTAAAGAAACAAAATAGGTAACCGATTAAAAATTTAGGTAATGATACACATATTTTTATAATGTCGCACATGGATACAAGAAAGAAAATCAATAAATTCCCATTCTGTTGTTGACAAACACAGATAAACTACTCGACGAAACTACTCTTTCGTCTTTCCTTTCCTTCCGACATTTTAAATGACGTTCCAGTTTCATATATTATTTTTTATTATAAGTTGTGATACAGCGCTGTCATTCATAGCAAAGATGTTTAATTAATTATAATAATGAGGATTTCAAAAAGGGTTCCATTCTCAGATTTAATTAAAGCTTCAATAAAACGTGCTCGCAGTCGACAGAAGTCGAGTTTAAGGACAAACATTATAGTAAACATTATGTAGTGAAGAGGCTGATTTTGGCTTGGTTATAATAAATAGTAGAGCTATGTGTATCAAATATTTATTACGTTTTGTATTATTGAGTTTTTAGATTGTGACAATGTAGCTACAACATTCATGAAAATAAATGAAGACGATAGATGTGGCTGTGTGAGCTACTTCCTTGGTCTGGTCTTAGATTTTAAATAAAAACAACTAATAATGTCAAAAATCAAAAGAATAAGACTGCTTGATAATTGGCAAATATTTAAAATAATAGTTAAGATATTCTTTTAACATACTTGCAGTTTCTTAATTTTATTTAAAATCAGTATAAAAATGGCTTTCGCGGCGGCAAACGAAGAAATCGACGAAGTAAAAGAGCGGGCTCATTTTATTGCTGTCGTTAATGCTTTCAAGTATTATAAGTAAGTAAATTATTATTTTATTCCAAATTTTAGTCCATTTTAATTTGACAGGTACTCTAAAGAAATATATATCGACTATGATTTAAGATAGACATATATTTATGCGGCATAGCAACAGGTCTTTTATTCGCTGTTTACCGATACAATTAACCTATTTAGATACAACAATAGCCTTTGTTTATAACCAAGATACGTGCGTTTGACTGGCTCTAATTTTCTATTGCGTTAAGTCGCTTTTTCTGTTGCTACTGTCATTATTTTCTTAACAGTTAGCAATTTATGTACAATCTAGGCATAGGAAAATATGAACAACAAGTTTTGAATTTACTTAATTATCACCCTTTTTGCTATAGCAATAAGGTCTATCTGTCTAAACTTATTGATTAACAAATTTTTAAAATACCTTCATAGTGTATGAGTACCTTGTATCTTAAAATAAATTCCTTTTTTAATTAAAATTTTCAAATCTTCTTTGGAAAGAATGATAAGTGCAAACGTGAAAGGATAGAAGCCAGGAAGCTTATGGGATGGTGAAGTTGGAAGTGGTAAAAATCTGAGAGCTGATATGAAAAGAATTATTACTTCAATGGATTTGAAAGATATGTGTATGGACTATACCTTCTGGTGGCCATATAATGGATCTGATATGAGAAATAAATTTATAATAGGGATGATGACTGGGTAAAAAAAAATGCAATTCTATTTAGTCCGTCAGTCAGATAATAGAAAAATATTAGATACATATTTTTTTTACTTCAATTTAACAATAAATAGTATAGATAACAGGCATTAAAGTTGAGGAGTGGGGGCTCGCTACGTCACAGTCGAGTAGAAAACATACTCTAACGTGACGTCATGCGAAATTTCAACTCAATGTAAAGCTGTATTTATTATTATGAAAAAAATACGTGTTGATTATTTTTTAACACTCTACCTGACGGACAAACAAACAAAAGTTAGTCATCATCCCTATTCTTCCATATCTATTTTATAACTACAATATTGAAGAAAGTAGGTGTATATTTTTTAAATGTAATACAAGTCAAAGTCAAAATAATCTAAATATTTTTGTGTCAACCAACATTTTTTTCCATTCAGTACCTTTTTCAGCTGAAAAGGACAATGAGTGAAAGATACTCACCAGATCTAAAAAAGTAACAACATTTTAATAAAATCATGACATAATTACAATTCACAAACTCAATTAAAATCTCACAGTATTATTGCAGACAAAATAAATTGGACTTATTGTTTGACTTGCAACAAATAGTATATTCAGCCATATGCCAAATACCAAATATTCTGTAAGATTTCTGAATATTAGGTCAGTATTTGGCTGGTGTGTGTAGCAGGTAAACTAGTGCTACAATAAATGCAAAAATAGTGATTTTTCTGAACTTTTAATTTTTCTAACAATGTTGTAAATTCACGTTTTGGTTGTGATTAATCTTAAAAATGACATTTTTATCCCATTTTTAATTACAACTTATTTAAACATATTTCTTTGTACATGGACTTTTGAAAGTTATTCTCACCAACTGATTGAAAGTTAGTGGTTTTAGGCATTCATCAATTGGTTTATAATGCTATAATATAATAGTAATATTTAATATTGATTGATTATTAACATTCTTTTAACTCATTATGAAAAGATTGCCATCACTACAGAATACATGTCTTTGAACTAGCCAATAGCTTCACCGCAGCTACCTCGCCCACCACCTACCCCACCACTAAGATTGGCATCTTTATTTTTTTTAACAAAATGATATGGTATTTATTGGAAGTTATCGGTGTGGCCGGGCAATAAGTTCTTAATAGTGTGCAATATTTTAAAATTTAGCTTGTTTAGAAGCTGTTTTAGAATCTCCTAAACTTTTAAATAATTTATTAATTAATCTGACGTAAGAACCTACCATACTGTATGTCTTCAATAATAAGCAAAAGTGATGATGACTAATTTTAGTTTGTTTGTCTCTCAGATAGATCACTGAAGAATATTAAACACATATTATTATTTTTTTGCGTAATCAATAATTTACTGCGATACGTTATGTTGATTTGTCGCATGACGTCACGCTTTTGTACATTTTCTATAGGTATAGTTGTGAGTAGTTGGCCACCACTAACTCAACTTTAATGCTTATTATCTAAACCATTTCTTGTTAAATTGACCCAAAAAATACGTATCTAATATCGTTTTTCTATTAGCTGACTGACGGACAAAATAGTTTTTTTAACCCATTTATCATTCCTATTACTCGCTCTCCCTTACGTAATAATTATATGACCCCTATTTTATAATAATGACTTCTCCAAATAAGCTGTGATTAACTACGTCATATTTCTAAGATTTTAGTCTCAGTCAAAACGTGAATCTATAAAGTGTCTTTGATAGAAAAAAAAGGTCATCTCAGAAAAATCACCATCTTACCCATTGAACTACTATTTACATAGAATCGGCGTATCGAACAAATAATTTGCGCACTGAGTTGATGCCGGCCGGCATCAACGCAATCAGTCATTGTTTTCACTTCTCACTGACTGGTCGTGTCCCGAAGTCGCGAAAACAATACTTAAAAATGCCTTCCTGTGTGTTAAAAACATGCAAAAATGATTCCACTGCAAATAAAAAAGATAGTGGTGTGACTTATCATCGGTAAGTAAACAAATTATTAATTAAATCCAACCAAAACTATTTACAATATTTTTTACATTGTCCACATTGAATTGTCCACCATTTTATGCAATAATCATAGATTATGAAAGTGTAAGGTGTACAGATAGGACGCGTAGGTACAATTGGTTAATGAATCATATTATGAGACTGTGTCAAGCCGATTTCGAGAATTATTTACAGGATATACTTTCAGATTGGTCTAATTCCTAGGAAATAAATGAAGCATTTACATTAGGATATTTTTTAAATTAGTGTTTGGTTTTCTAAAAAAAATATATTTTGTGAGAGTAACGTGGAGTAACGATCATTGGTTTTTTTTTACTTTTACAGGTAAGCTCTTGACCTCGGTCATACATGACTCGCCGTGCTGAGTCAGCATGACGAGGTTCAGGATGGAGCGAGCGTACCTGGAATTTGCCCAAATACCCAATTTTTGGGGTGGTTGAGATCTACCTCCAAGCGGTCCACCCTGGGCAACTGCTCCACTTCTGTGCAGACGGCTAAAGATCTCAACTCGCGGTAGTAGGACCTATAAAGGTCCGCCTGCATCGCGACTACCCGTCCACCGGAGTCTGGCGCCATAACAGCTTGCTGTGTTCCGTCAGTGCGTTGAAGTTCCAGTGCCTTCGGGCAATTCCAGGTTAAGCTCGCTCCATCCTAGGCCTCGTCATTGCTGACTCGGCTCGGCGAGTCATGCATGACTGAGGTCAAGTGCTTACCTGTACATAGTAAAAAAAAGGATCTCAACCACCTCAAAATTTATTTTGTTAAGTTTTGATAGGACAAAAAAGTTTGACTGGTTTAACTTAGTAACTGTCCGCAGTAGATGATATATATTTTTTTTAGGTTTCCTCGGCCTGGTCATGAAAAAAGAGAACGATGGATTAAATTTGTCCAAAAAAATCGGAACGAAGAGACATGGCTACCAAGCGAACATACAGTCATATGTTCAGAACATTTTAAAAATGAAGATAAATACATTACCAAGACTGGTAGACAATATCTCAAGAAATGTGCAGTACCATACGACGATAATTATTCAACATTAGGTACTTCGAAATTGGTGGAACCAATATCTGAACCAGTGAGTGATTCGGAATCAATCTTTAATAGTCCTAGAAAAATAGTACTAAAAAATAAATTATCAAAAGAAATTACAGCTAAAAAAGTACCTTCAGAGAAATTTAAGAAGATAAAGCGTCAAAACAGATATTTAAAAAAAAAATGTATGTCTTACAAACTGATCATAAAGGATATGAAAATTAAGTTTGGATTTGATGCACAAACAGAAAATGACTTAATGCATAAAGCTGACATTGTAGAGTTGCATAAATCATTAATGAAAAAAATGAAACAGAACAAACATTCTTTACTGTATAGTGCACCACTAAGAAAGTTTGCATTGACTTTGCACTATTATTCTCCAGCCGCCTATAAATACGTCAGAGGGACGTATAATAAAGCTCTTCCACACCCGAGAACAATCAGTAGGTGGTACTCAACGGTAAATGCTGAACCTGGATTCACTGAAGAAGCTTTTAAAATATTAGAAAAGAAAAGCCAATTAAACGACAAACCTGTGCTATGTTCTTTGGTATTCGACGAGATGGCAATTCGAAGTCAAAAGTTATTTAATAAAGAACGCAAACTTGGGACGGTCAACTTTGGCGCAGGTCCTATAGCTGGTGAAGACGAAGATACAACAGCTACCCAAGCTTTAGTATTCATGCTAGTGTCTATTAATGAAAACTGGAAATTGCCAGTAGGGTATTTCTTAATAGCGGGTATTAATGCAGACAGAAAAGCAAATTTGATTAAAGTTTGTTTGGAAAAGTGTCATGAAGTTGGCGTAACTGTTGTAAATCTCACGTTCGATGGTTGTGCTACAAATTTTAAGGCTGCTGAAATTTTAGGATGTCAATTGACGAATTTAAATGATATAAAGACTCATTTTCCTCACCCTTTGACATCAGAAAAAGTGTGCATATTTTTAGACCCGTGTCATACAATAAAATTAATTAGAAACACATTTGAACGGAAACGGTTATTGTTTGATGAAAATAATGGAAGAATAAGGTGGCAACTGCTGTTAAATTTAAATAAACTCCAGCAAAATGAAGGTCTGCAATTTGCCAATAAATTAACACCGCGTCACATTTCTTTCCGGAACCAAATAATGAAAGTCAAGCTTGCTACGCAGTTGCTCAGTATGAGTGTTGCAAAAGCAATAACCCTTTGTGATGAAATTTTAAAATCAACTAAATTCCAAGATTCTGCTGCTACTGTTAACTTCATAACATTGATGAATAATTTTTTCGATGTTATGAATTCTAGAAAATTTCATTTCTTTGGCTATAAACGTCCAATTGATCAAAAAAACAAATCTGACATTTTTGGTTTCCTCGATGAAGTCAAGTCGTATATTCAAGCTCTGCAATACCAAGTCAGCACGAAAAGAATAATCAAAAGAAGGAACAGGGATCCAAAAATAACACTGAACATCACAAAAAAGAAGATTGTTGAATCCTCAAATAAAACAGGATTTATAGGAGCTATAATCTGCATAGAGTCAATGAAGACACTTTACAATCATTTAGTGGAAGAAAAAAAACTTATTAACTACCTATCAATGTACCGCATAAATCAGGACCACTTGGAACTTTTTTTTGGTTTAATCAGGAAACATGGCGGATATAACAACAATCCGAATGTTCTACAATTCAGAGCTGCCTATAAAAAAACTCTAAACCATTTGGAATTACGCTCACATTTCAGTGGAAACTGCGTGCCATTAGATAATTTTACTATTCTAAATTCATCATCAGTAAATATTATCAATAGCACGTCCACTTTAAACGGACACGATGAGGTGGCATATGAGGTTTTGCAGTCAACACGCGCATTAGCATCAGATTTAGAGGCTGAAAACAATTGCGAAATCTTTGCAAATATGCTCAACAATGAAAATACGACAGAAGCTTCAAGACTCATCGTTGGATACATTTCTGGATATGTTTCCCGCCACCTAATAAAATCTTTGAAGTGTGAAGAGTGTGTGGACACCTTAACCACAACTACTAAACTTCCACATCACAAACTAATAACACTAAAAGACATGGGTGGTTTGTGTTATTCTTCCGAAGACGTTTACAAAGTATGCCTTTCTACCGAGATTATTATACGACATTTAATAAGGAAGAGTGGTGGTAAATTACTTTCTTTGAAATACACTTATACCTACATCACAGTGAATACCTTAAAATTATTCATGGACAAGGAAGTATTTATGTGTTTAATTCAGCATGCATTTGATCAACCATCCACACTTAACCACCGAATTCACCTAATTCGAGCGGTAATAAATAAATATACAGCTATTCGTTTAAATCATGAAGCGAAAGTTTCAAATAATTGTTTGTCTGAGCGTCAAAAACTTACCAAGTTAATTCTTTTTAAAGGTGAATAAATTTATCAAATTTAAATAATGTTTTTTAGAAATAAGCCTCTGTCTTTATTTGTGTAAAATAAATAGTAAATAAATAAATTACTTTTTACTTTACTTCATTTGTAATGCTATACCCGAAAAATACTAATAATACTTAATAAGTAATAATACTACGTAATATTTTTTTTATATGCGACTAATTCGAATAGTTGTGTAGGTACAAACACCAAAGTTATGTGGGTGTCACTTCTGCGTGTTAATCCATAGGAGCAGCATAAGCTTACAACAATTTGAACAAAACGCGTAACCGCCATGAAATTCACGGCGTTTACGACATTTTGGTCGCAAGAAAAATGTAATCTCTAAGCAGTATTGCGCTGTACGTTTTTAAGTTTTTCTAAACGATATACGCTAGATTAAGCGCTGCAGCGCGACAAATGTCCGCTGTCATCAAGATGTGACATCTTTTTTCTTGGATATAGCATCTCTATACGTAGTAGTATTAGCTCAATGATCTTACCATATATTCTTGTAATTATACCTGCTTTTAATTTGTAAGGAAGATTGATAAATTTGTAAGTCACTTATAGTCTAGGGCTTTACGGAACACTTGAAAATATCATAATAGCTTATTAATTATTAAAAAAAAAAGTATTTTCTTTACGTCCAGTATTTGAAGACAAACTTATTTCAAAAGTGTGTTAATTTACCTATCACTGCCTATACCTACAGATGTGAACATCTTAGGGCTTTACGGAACACTTGAAAATATCATAATAGCTTATTAATTATTTAAAAAAAAAACGTATTTTCTTTACGTCCAGTATTTGAAGACAAACTTATTTCAAAAGTGTGTTAATTTACCTATCACTGCCTATACCTACAGATGTGAACATCTATTAAGCTTATAAACAAAGATAAAATCAGAACCGCTTCATTGTAAGAATAAATTATTGCATGACTACACGTGCTGTTGAGTAATAAATAGACTCTATTCAAAATTGAATTATATTTGCATGATTTTAAAGTGCCTTTTGTATTGATCAAGAAGGATATTTGTCTGTAATATTGTTTGTTTTTATTAAAGACTGGACACGTGTATAATTGTACAACCAGCGACAAACTAATCTGAATATAATGTAGTCATGATCATCCGATGAACATTTAGTCACTATGTAATCAGATATTGTTCGGAGCTAATTATATCATGTCAGTAACATTTAGGGTTACCATATTTCAGCGTACACTTTTAGGGATTGCGGAATTGGAGTATCACACGAAATTTCGGGATGTATTAATTTTTGAATTGAATTACACAATTCGACCGATTTTCTTTGAACTATTTGATAGATATGTTATAAAAGCTCTTATAATTAAAATTGTGGTGCGTTTCTTTCTGGAAGTTCGTTAACAATACTCTAGCTAGATCAACATGCGATATCGATTTACTTTAAATATCTATATTCTGTTTGTTACGTTGAAATCTGTTTTTTTTTCAGATTGTGCAGCCTCGACCGCATACACAAATCGGAGAAGATAATGTCGACCTTACCTCTTACACACCAAAGACGATTAGAAAAGTACAAAACGTACATGAACAAATTGAAAAAGTGTTTGGACGTCAACAATTCTGTTGTCCACTGTATAATCAAATACGTGGACACCATGTTCGAGAACGTCGATCATAGTAACGCAATGGATATGAACACAAACGGAGCAGAGAGCTTCGGTAATTGCAATTACAACGTTTGTCCCATAACATCTCAGAAGCAGCACAAGATGCAGCATGATGTCGATAAGGTCGGTATTCGTATAAACACCGTACCGCCCCGAGCCTCTGGTTCCTGATCTTACGAAAATCAAATCGTTGCAAGTTAATTTTCGTAAGAGTCAAGTGACCCCCTCTAACAACTTAAACGATTTTTATTTTTTTCTAGACTCTATTAGATGTTTTTGTGAAAAAACATATTTTCCTGTTTGTGAAAGTCGTTACGTTAGTTAGAAGAAGTGGATCAATTAAACAAAGGTACATACTCAGTGAGTGAAATAAATAAAATCTTTTTTACATTAAAGACCTAACTCAAATATGCCGTTCCGGGCGCGCGGGGGAAGGGGGGTGTTGTAAACGCAATATCAAGTCTCTGACCCAGTTGGAAAAAGTTGTAGATCCAAGACCGATGCCACCCCGGGACTCTGATGGGGTTGGTCCACTGCTGACTGGACAACTCACACTCATTTATCATTTAATAAAAGATGCAACTGGCAGTTCACGTTATGTTGTCTATAGGGGCCGTCCATAAATTACGTCACACAAAATTCATAATTTTTAACCCCCCCCTCCTGTCACTAATGTCACAGTTCGTCGACTCCGCCCGCCCCCCTCCTGACGTGTGTCGCTCCTATCTATGGTTTGTTTAAATTATCGCTGACCGGTGAATCACCTGTGGTGATGTATTTGTTTAAAGCAAGAATTATCACAATCTATATATATATAACTCAAAGGTGACTGACTGACATAGTGATAGATGTGCGTTGATAGTTCACGCACAGCCCAAACCACTGGTCGGATCGTACTGAAATTTGGCATGCAGGTAGATGTTATGACGAAGGCATCCGTTAAGAAAGGATTTTGATCAATTCTACCCCCAAGTGGATAAAATAGGGGATGAAAGTGTGTATGAAACTTTGTCAATTTTAAACCGATCGGGCTGAGACTGCATGCATAAAGTTACTATGACGTAGGCATCTCCTAAGAAAGGATTTTGAAAAATTCCACCCCCAAGGGGATAAAATAGGGGATGACTCTCGAATAAATATTATATATATTCGATGACGACGTATATATTAGAAACGATGAATAAATATTCGTTAGAAATGCTGCTCAAAGTAACTTTACCACGGGGACAAAGTCTAAATCAGCTCATTCATTGACTGTTAGGTGGAATATAGTTCGCCGGGTCCTCTAGTTAATCATAAAATAATTAATTTATAGGTGCAGTCAGTATTGAAAAATATTGTGAGAGACTGGAGCGAATTGGGTGCGCCAGAAAGAGAGCAATGCTATAAACCGATATTGGATGAGATAGGTGAACGGTTTCCTCACGATGGATATAAGTGAGTCTCACATTTTAACATAACATGATTAATGTAAATGTCACAGCAAATTAGTTGAAACAGCCATACAAAAGGGGTGAAGACATTTTTTTTGTTTCTCCGTCAAGTAGATAAATAAAATACCATAATTAATATTGAAAAATATTAATTATGTATTTTTTGTTTTTTGCATAATCAGTACATTACGGCGATACGTTATGTTGAAATGTCACATGACCTCACGCTATTGGTACGTTTTCTACAAAATTGTGGCGTAGCGTTCCCGCACTTCTCAACTTTTATGCCTATTATCTAAGGCACTTCTTGTTAAATTGAAGTAAAAAAAAATAAGTATCTATTATTTTTCTATTATCTGACTGACGGACTAAATAGAATTTCTTTTTGTTGCCCAGTCGTCATCTCTATTGAACGGCGCCATTAGATTGCACGCCTAGTTTTCTAGTTAATCCTTATTGACATTTAAAATGTTCAATAGCCTGGCAGATTTAAAAGCCACCGTTACGTTAATTCATATTATTTTTCTAATACTGCGGCGCTAGCTTAGCTTTGTTTACAAAACGGCTTTGACACACTATGAAGTTAACGTCAGCATAAAGGTTTATGTTTGTAGTTTTATTTAAAGAATAAGTTAGTGTTTGGTAGAATGGTAATTCAAGATCATTATTTTTTTAGCACTACAAATCTAATCTTCAATTTATTTGCTTCCCTTAGTGATCTGAGCCACGTTAAGGTACTAGTTCCCGGGGCTGGGTTGGGAAGGTTGGCGTGGGAGGTAGCCGCTAGAGGGTATACCTGTCAAGGGAACGAATTTTCCCTGTTCATGTTGTTTGCAAGCAACTTCATATTGAACAGATGTCCTGAGGTGAGTAAGGTTTTGTTGTTACATTATAGGCAAAAACTCTTACAGCCTATTATTCTAAGGTAATGTTTTAACTAAAATATGGTCTGTTGGAATACAGTACGCAGAAATGTGTCCAAGCGATATTATCGAAATGGAATTCCTATTTTCGACGTGACGCATGTTCCATATTATTTAGCTGAATAATATTTTTTTCACTTTCATGGCACTTTGTAAAATACAGAACATCACCCAAGTTCAATTTCAGATTCAAAACTAACTTGTAAATTTTATCCACCTTTTGAGCTTTTCTGGTTAGTTCATTCCAGAACAGACCTATACTTGTGGTATTGAAGTGTGTATTCATACGCAGGCAAACAAATACACAGTGCACCCATGGATCCATCAGTACGTGAACAATCTGTCGTGCGAGCATCAGTTGATGGCGGTAAATTTCCCCGACGTGCGTCCTTCAGGAGAACGGCCTAACCATAATTTCAGTATGACGGCGGGGGATTTCCTCAAGGTAACAATATGGGACCGCTTTTATATACACACAAAATGTAAAATAAAATAAAAGAAACCTAATAAAATAAAAGAACCTGTACATATAAAATGAAACCTGTATTATTATATATAAACCTTAATACACGTGTATTATTATATATAAATATTTTGTATTAAACTACTTACATTTATTTGTGTACAGGTGTATACAGAAGCGGATGAATGGGATTGTGTAGCGACATGTTTCTTCATTGATTGTGCGCCCAACGTTATAGAGTTTGTTGAGAGAATATACGGCATTCTTAGACCAGGCGGTTACTGGATCAATCTGGGACCACTACTTTATCATTACAGGTATTTAATATCACCAATCACGTCTATACTTGTTATGAAGTAGTGATGTTATGTTGTCGATACTTTTGTTGTCGACATATTTAGTGACAAAATCGAAACCACTATTGGTTATTGGTACTTACTGTAATTAGATAGGTAATAGTATCGTAGAATGTTAGATTGTTGACTTTTCTGGGTAACAAAAAGATAATACTATAGCGCTCGTTCGTGGTTCAAAAGGCATGTTAAGCCGTTGGTTCTGGTTAGCTCTTCTCTGTCGCATTGGGCATATGGTTTTTGGTCCTTTCTTTTTAGATCTTATTTCATCGGCAAAGTTTGTATCCTAGCAGTGGGAATATTGATAAAATAATAATAATAATAATAATATTTATTAGATCACAACAAAATACATGATTTTCGTTATATCTAAGCTTATCATATACTGTACCTAATTAATTTGCATCTGCTGCTGAACTGAGTTGATACTCGTCTTTCAGCATACAGCGCCTCAAAACCTCAGATTCTTGAAATTACTTAATATATATTAAGAAGATAAGCGACACTGAATTTAAGTTACCTAATTTATCTTAACTTATAGTGTTAAAGGATTATAAAAGTGGTGTTATATATAATATGATTTAATTATATTTTGTTTTAGCGATATGACGACGGAGAATAGTATAGAACCGCCATACGATATTCTCCTTGACGTCATAAGAGACGTTGGCTTCGATATACTGGTGAGTTTACGAGTCTTGTGTTGATCAAACGAATGAATATCACAAGGAATTTTTGTCTAGTGTTGTTTGTGATGTCGATATTGATCTTTATAAATAGTCTATTTATCGATAAATATTTTCATAATAATTACGGGTTTTCTTCGGTAGTATCAACGCTATTTATAATATGGTATAAGAGTATAGTTTTGCTTTAACATGATTATTTGAAAGTGACTGAGTCGTCTGTCACCATTCGCGATCGTGTCGATATAGGAAATAAACGCTCACTAGTAGCGAAAAGTAATATGTGTTTGGAAATTGGTCAGTCCTGTCTCGGGTTGCAACAGTCTCCCGGATTGTACAAGGTTGTGCGTTCTAAGGGGCCATTCATTTATTACGTAAGACTATTTCCGCTAATTTTTGACCCCTCTCCCCTATTATAAGAAAAAATAAGAAAAAGCCGACCCCCTCCCCCCTTTTTAATATTTATTACGCAAGAATCTGAAAGGGTTTTGGGTTGTTTTAAGTAATAATTTTTAGAAATCTTTTTCTGTACTTACAAAGTTAGTAATAATTTTCATTTATTGGTAGTTTAAAAAAATCTTTAGTTTCATAAATCTTTCGTAAAATTTTCAGTCCAGGTACTCAAAACCCACTCTGAAAGTGTATCTGCCACTGGAACATCTCTAATAGAAGATGTTGCTTCTAGTTGGTCATTCAGGATAGTGACGTCGTTGTCGTCCACCTATTCCACATCAGCCCCATTTGCTGATCTTACGTAAGAACTATCGAGACTCCCTCCCACTCCTTGTAAGAAAAACTAAGACATTGTTGACCCCCCTTCCCCCCTAAATCGTGTTACGTAATAAATGTATGGCCCCTAATGAGATTCGGGTACAGGGGCTGGTAAAATTTTAAGCGTTTTCATTAGAGATATTAATCTGCTTTGTCAGGTCTGGTTTGTTGTGGTACGTTCTGTTAAAGGGAAAAACATAGACTACTATTGGCAGCACTAATTGTCGATTTCACTACGGGCAACCCTATCTGTCAGATAGCTGCCACTCTCACTGTGACTTTGATTTCATCTACCAAAAAAAAATGACTGATTTCAGTTTTTGTTGATTGCCGTAACATAAGAGCCTGACAGCCAGTTGCACAAACGCTCATTAATATTGTCATTAGTTTAAAGCGACATTACCCATACAAATTTGACATTCATTAGAGCTTAAAGGCGTCATTAAACCTTAATGGACGTTTGTGCAACTGACCGTGCGCCACTTAACTTGGGATGAGAGCATTGTATTTAATGTCTTTATTTATATTATATTTTTTATTTTTTCTAATACAGAAAGAAGAGTCCGGTGTTAAAACAAAATATGCGCAAAATCCAAATTCTATGATGCAACATGAGTACAACTCAGTATTTTTTGTATGCAAGAAACCTTACTGCTAAATTTAACAATGCCGTCTAATTAAAAGAGTCTGTTTTACTTTGAATATGGAAATTAAATTTCTAGTACTAAGTTGCTGTTTTTGTCAAATATTATACGAAAATATGAGCAGTGTTGTTAAAGTTTCTTGTGGCAGTTAAAATTGACTGTGAAAATGAGATTATAATATGTTTAACTTTATTTCATAGGTTATGTATATTTAAATATGTATAGTCAGTAACAAAGTTTTATTATGTGTGTATAACAGTATAGTACACCTGTAAACAAATCGTTGTATTGTTATACTATAATCCCTTTCTGTGCTAATAACACATGCGCGAGTAGAGAGAGAGTGAGACAGATGTACCAATGTTCTTTTTCTCTTTCTAACCGACAGACAGCAGGAGGTCTCCAATATGCAGGGTAAATTTTTAAACAGTCCCTTTATTTTATTGCCACTTCCTAATCGAGTTAAAGCTGCAGGCTTGCCAACTCTATGTGTTAAATCTCTATGCAGAAACTGGTATCGTTATGGGGCGAACAAAGTGAAACTAGTTTATTGCTTTTTGTTACTGGTTGTATATACAGCAGAACATCAGAGGTTGCACTCTTACGTCATTCGATAATAGTGAACTTTCGTATGCCTTGCTCTAATTTACTTATTTATAATACAGTAAAAAGGGACAGAAGATCGCGAAGTTTGTGATTTATCGAAAAGCTTTTAAGAGTTCGACCTCCGGTTACCAGTTGTCTAAATTCCTCAATTTTGAACTTAACTTCCAACATTTTAAGCTTAAAATCAAATTGAGACGTTTGTACTGGATAACCTAGCGTGATGTTAACTGTACTGCGATCTTGTGTCATAAAAATATTTTTAAAATAATTTTTTATTTTATTATGTATAAAAAAGTTTTTGGCAACTGGAAAAGTTTTAATATGTAATTGATTCCTAAACTAAACTTTAATTTGGCCGGTTCTTACTTTTTTCTCAAATACAGGATAAGGAGGGCTCTTAAGTTCAAAAACAGTGTTTGAAAGCTTTTTATCACTGTACAAAAGGAATATGCCGCAAGCTACGTGTTCATACGTACTTGTCAAGGTTTGCGGCAAGTGGCAAGCGTTTGGACGCGGCATAATGTTAAAGTCGGTTAACAAGAAAAGAACACAATTATCTTGAGATTTTTGTGTGAGTTGTTAATACATGTTTAATTAATTTTTTTTTGTTAATAATTGGAATATAATATAGATGTACCCACCTGTAATAAGTGTTAGGAAATAAAGGAAAATTACATCACAAAAAATATTTAAATAAGATTTATAAAAATTCTGTATTTTTTTATTATCTGCAACTTAGTTACTTTTTCTTTATTTATAACCATGGAATGTATATGATATACCAATTTATAATTACAGAATATTTGAGAGTTATAGATTCATTCGAAACATTGGTCTCATAATAAGTATTATTGAAGTGAATTGTATACAAGTATTTTGTTGCTGGATTTTTATAGAAATTAATGAATATTTTTTTTTTTGTGAATTCGTGTTGTGCATTAGCATAATGCTTTTTGCATTAGATAAAATAAACGCAGACAAATTGTTTCGCAATCGAAGAAGGGTTCAATAGGCTTGTGTCCTACAAATGACAATACAGGTTTCTATGATATATTCGGAAAATATGAACCATTTTAACTTATAGTTATTTAACAAAATAAAATTTATGATACTAATTTTGTAAATATTATGCTTTTAAAACTTGAAAAAGTAGGAAAAAAATACAATAGAATTTTGCTAAAATATATATAGCATTAAATTAGTTACATACAGTTATTAACATAAACGCACAAATAACAAAGATTGCTTTGACGCCCATACGTTTTTCGCTAACTGTAGCACCGTGTGACGTCACTTAGTCCTTGAAATTGCAGGGAGCGTTTTTGGCCGACTAGCAGCAGTTCTACAAACATAGCAACGTATCTCCGAAAACATTAATCTCAAATATGCTGTTACTTCTACATTATTTCTCAGATATTAATGGAAAATTTATAAAAAAAAAGTTGTCATCTAGCCTACTAGCCTATTCTTGGGATTGTCACATAAATTCTCCTTAAAACGCGATGGGAAATAGCGGAAGGGACCTAACAAAAATCCAAATAATGCGATATATGCTCGTTAGGAAAAATTACACAAACTATTGTCGGTCTAATATGTTTTTAAACAAATGGTACTTACATTTTCATTAAGGAGGTACATAGATTTGATTTTTATTTCTATAAATTACGGAAATTACTGTAGATTTTTGTCTTTTTATGAGGAGCCCTATGAATATATATAGGGTTCTCCTATATATATTCAATTTGTATGATGTGATATTTCAGACGAATGTAGATGTCTATAGAGATTCAGTAATAAGATTGTTTAATTAGGGATATGTTTTAAACGATCTTCAAATAAATAGATTTTATGTTATGTGTGCCTTAGAGAATAAATCATTGTAAAACCGTTGTAACCGTCTCTAATTTTTATTATTAAATTCATATACATTTTTTTAAAATATTTTAAAGGTGTTTTGCATTTTTGGTTGACTAATTATGTTCCACTGTTGTTTGGCTACTGAGAAAACTATACGTTATAATTAGATAATATAAATATTACAAACTAGCTTTCGCCAGTTACATCGCCCGCGTGGTCCTTAGGGAAATGTTTAGTGAGATATAAGTTCCCTATTATCTAAGTCAGCTAATATCTGTATAGCAAATTTCATCAAAATCCGTTCAGTAGTTTCTGATTGATGACAAACATCTAAACAAAGAAACTTTTACATTTATAATATTAGTAGGATTCACAATTTTTCTAATCTTTAATTTAAGTGTAAAAATTAGTGAATATGTTTTATTTTGTGCGAATTTTCACACTTTGAACATTTACTTCGAGACAGATTAATAATATCTAGAAATATTTAGAAAATATAAATCTATTTATTTGAAGACACTGAAGGAAAATATATATTAAGGTGACAAAAATTATTGCTGCCGTTTTGATAACTCTTATTACAGGCGTTAAGTTAAATATGAGTAACGTAAAAACTTTTAAATATTCTTAAACATCAATGTTGACCAATTCTTTGCCACAAGACGTCACTACATTTACAATATCAACATATTTATTATTTTTAGTATTTAGAAACAAGCAGATATAATGCAGTTATTACCCCTGCGAAATAATTTTGTAGCACTAACGCTTTTATTTAATTTCAACGCCTTGTGTTAGTGAAGCGTTTTAAATAATAGTTATAAGTTTTATTCCAAAATGACGAAAACATCACAAGTTGTTTAGCCCGTTGTGAGTTAAATAGTAGTAAACCATTCCCATTTTTTTTTCTTAAGTTACCTGGCAACCATAACACAAGTAATTAATAATCCACCTTAAGCAAGTCAGTGTTTCTTACTCTGTAGTCCGTGGATTTAAAAAGGTTGGGAAACACTGAGCTAAGTGACACTTATGGTGGTACTGAACAATTTTCTAAAGAATGATTTTTAAGTAAATTAAGAAGACGTAAATTTTTACTATTCCACAGTTTTTAGTATATATTTTTTATATGAATGTATAAACCATAAAGTTTAGGTGTGCATAATTAACGTTTATATTAAGTGTTTACAAATTATTAACCTACAATACGAAAAAAAAATTGTAATTTATTATTTTGGATCGGTGATTAAATGTTCTTTATTTAAGTCGTTTATAAAATTATAGGTATTGCTTACATATATTACAGATACCGTTTAAAAATTATGATTACAATATGTAACTAGATATGATTTTTTAATTTGTATCAGTAAAATGACATTTACAACTATCATTTAAATTAAGAGATCGAACCTTTGCAGGCCCGGTACTAGTACCCGCAATTGCCCCGGGCGCCACTGTAGGGGGGCGCCAAAATCAATAATTAGTGATTATTTGGCGATTCTACCTATTTATAGTTAAAACAACAATAAGATTTAAGACTGTCACTTTAATGTACACAGATAATTTAAGGCGAACCATAGGTAAGAAATCGAATTGAATTCTTTTGCTGAAGTCCATGAGGTTGATCAGCACATATGAGTCAGGTAGGTACAGTCAGCATACTGTCGTTTTAGTGATGAATTGAAAATCATAATGCTTGTGAAGGGCATTAAATATAGTTTTAAATCATGAAGGCAATTTGTATTCATAGTGGGTATGTTCCGATATACACTGCGAGCACTGCGCAGTGGTCTTACTGCTGAAAAATCCGTTCCGTTATGGACTGCCAGTACACTGCTACAGTACCCTAGGGAAATTTATGACGTCATTAATTGCCGCCATATTTGTACTGTGAGCACTGGAGATTTCGAGGTAAGGTGCTCGCAGTGCTTTTGATCACGTGATCAGTCGAAACAGAATCAGAAAATGACAAGTTTCTAAATAAACAAAAAAAAAATACTTACGTTTATTATAAAATGGATTTAATTGATAAATAATTTTTTATACACAATTTTAATATTTTCTTTTGAAAAGAGGGAATCTTTATATTTATATTCACCTTGCATTAACAAATTTGAAAATGGCGCCAAAAATAGGATTAACAGTATACTGGACTGCGTTCCGTTTTAAAAGTCACCAGTATAACTAGCTATAAAGGAACGGGCTTCCAGTATACTAAATTGACGTCATACTGTTCAGTGGTCGCAGTGTATATCGGAACATACCCAGTGTCTCGTCATACGTAAAACGAGAGTTGAGTTATATAAGTATGTTTTGATGGTCATTTCCGAGATTAGATGTTCTTGTTCAATTTTGTACTTTATGTAAAAGCAATAAAGTACAAGGTGTTATTTATGACGAAAGAGTTGTTATTTTGTTAAGTACATTGTAAAGACATTAAAAGTTTATTGGAGAAATTGAATTTTTATTTTATCAACTGCATTTTATTCTAATAAGCTTAACTTTAGACGTTGCTGTCACGTTCTGACCTAGGAGCAGTAACGGATAAGTTGTGTTTGTTGAGATCTTTTAAACTACACAACGGATCTTAATGTGGATTTCATCAATATAGTATAGAGATTCAAGAGGAAGGCTTATAATAATATGTATAATACAGGACTACGAGGGCGAACGCGCTGACGCACCTTAAGTGTTGTGATGGGTCAAGAATTCATTTAAAAATCCAAAGGGGTAGCACCGCCTGACTGGCGGACATATCACTATGAGTAGCTTTAGGGGTTTCAATTTTCCGCATTTAAACGGATTTATCGGTCTATTCTACGTGAAAAGTGTGCTGTTTTTGGGCCTCCACTGTTTCACCTAAAATAGGCACTTGGTGTAGAGTTGCGGAAACAACCCGCCGACGAGAAGAAACTCCACAAAGGCGAATTTCTTAGCAATACACTATATGGGCGATGTCCTTTGTAGAATTGAGGAGTCTGTCATTACTTTTCTCATGGACCGAGATAGATACTTTTTTACAGATGATGTAATTCTATTTGTTATGTAAGGATTTAAAGGGGCTCCCATATAATCAACTTTTTCCGACTCGGATAAATTCTGAGAAAGTTACTTAGTCAGCTTAATGAGAGACAAAATTATATCTCTGAAAAAATGTTATAAAATGAAAACCCAACCAAATTATTCCATTAATGTTTTATTCAAATATTGTATGAAATATCTACCAATCTTATTGGTGTCTTCATTAGAATGATTCATTTTAGCATACGTCAGAAACTGTCTTCTTAATTTTAAAAGTTTCTGAGGAGTGACAAACTCTATAAAGCCAGACTCTAAAACACATCCTGGGTAGTCTGGAAACTTGACTTCTCCGCTTATGTTCAGCTGCTTAGCTTCGAGAATATGTTTGGACACTGCTTGAGTTACTTTATCAAGCTCATATAAGAAATTCGTTGATGTGAGCGGTGGCTGAAAATAATAGGAAATTGTTAATATCAACTAATTTTAAGCTAAGTACAATTCAGAAATGAAAATATCACGTTTTAATGTGTGGCTCATTACAGTCACTGTGTTTTATTATTCCCTGATCTTGTTAGGCCTTCAATTCTTACTAAACTATTATTTTTTTTTTGTGGTTTTGACTGTTAGACTGTTAGATGGGAAATTCTTTCAGGAAGGTTTATTACCATGCAAAGCTAGCTTTTATAGGAATAGGCTGTCATTTCGAGAAAAGAATAGTAAAACATTTATGTAGAGGCAAATAAAAACCCTTTGTCTATTCTTATTGTATGTAGATATATGATAAAAACTTAATGAATTTTGAGCTCAAATTGAGATCTAGGGTACTTCCTGCTTTGGCTTGTTTTGAAGTGTTTCCTAGGAATGTAAATGCAGCTTAAGTGGCACACAAAAGTTTACTATAATATATGACAAATCTTACATTTTGGGTACTCATGTTGGGAGGGGGAGGTTTTTTCTCAAACAGTACTTTGTATATTGAGTTGAGATCCAGTATATCAGATGGCTGAACTGTGAATAGTGGACTATCCCATCTGTTTGCGCTATTTGGTTCTTCAAACCTGGAAATGTTTAAAGATAAAATACATTTTGTAACAAAATTACACATCGGTGACAACTGAATTTAGACATGTGATGTGGTATTTTCCATTTAATAAGGTCTTTATTGTAGTTTCTTTTTATCAAAATATCAATACAAATTATATATTTTATAAAATTTAGTTTATTTGTATCATCTAAATTACAAAGGTTTGTTAACTCATGTACAAAATGATGCATAGTTAACATAAACTCGTGACATTTCTTGACTTTATTTTTATTAATTCTTTTTGAATAAAAAATCTAACCTTAGTCTAGTTAAAGCATTGAATACTTCTTCAGTGTAAGGCATTTTATTTACATCAGTCTCTAATGAGCTTTCCTTGTTATTTAAACGAGATTGGTTATTTTCCCATGCCTCATCATGATTACATATAGTATAAATAGTACACTGAGTGGATTTTGAAGCTTTTGATGCGCAGTAAAGTTCATAACGGTATCCTGAAATGAGATTTAATTGACTACTGTTTACTGTTTTTGTGCAATATTTTAGTGCATCACAGAATAAACACTTTCTGGCCAACCTTTTATGTAGTTACTCCCGTCTAATATGATAACATTATCCTTGCCTATCAATCTTAGCACCTCTGATTTAAGATATCCTCTCACTCTTTTTTCTTTTTGGAAATCCAAATACATAGTATTTTTATCATAACCTAATTTCCTTATGGCTTCATCTTCGGACACAATTTCCACTTGTTTGCCATGTGTTTTTTCAAAGAAATTTTTGATTTCATATGCTCTAGTAGTTTTCCCACTCACAGGGGTCCCGCAAATTATTATTAAGGGCATTTCGTGTTATTTTAAAGCATTATCCAATATTGTATTAATAGGTATATGCCACAGTATGTGCTTTGTTGTCAAAAGTGTGATACAGTCAACAGCACGTCAGGCTTTACAAAACTGTCAAGTTTCAGTACTTGATTTTAAACTTTAATTTAATAGTGGCAGAGTTTGTAATTTACTGGAGAAATTTGACATTTGTGTCAATTTGACGTACACTGATTTTCTGTGACATTTGACATCTGGCCAGTGTTGCCAACTCTGATTAGAAAAAGACGTAGGTCTGGCTTGGAAAATACGCAGACTATGTATATTCTTGTGTCTACTATTTCTAAAAAATAGCGCGTATTTGTTTGACCATCGACTCCACAACCACACTAGCAAGACCTACTTACTGAGTAGCGTGCATAAAAAAAGTGCCGATGTTGCTCCCAATGTGAACTAATTTGAAAACTTTTGAGTTTTTGAAAATTGTTTTTTGTCTCATAATTTTTGAGAAAGAGATCCTGTTCCTAAAGCCACAACCAAGAATTTTATTGTTTCATTAAATTTTTGGATGTTTGTTGCTGTTTATCAGCGTTTGGAACTGATCGGGAACTACGAACAAATAGAGGAATTCACAGGAATTGTGAACTGTTTGCGTTCCGATAGAATTGCTTTTCCAACTATACTCCATTCACTATAACATTACAAAAAAGAGGGTCATAGATGCAGCACTGAAGAACATTTTATTTTCAAGATAAATTTAAAAAAACTATATTAGTTTTGTTGAAACTTTGAACGTTAGGTAGTCTGAAAGAGCTGGGCAATTTTCCATTTTTTATGATACCTCGGGGATGAGATGAGGCCAGCATTTCATAAATTCATCTTTTAGTCCCAAGCCAACATGGAACTAAAACTGAAACTGTGTGTTTTGATAAATTCTAATTGTTAGTGTAATAAGTTAGACTATTGATGAAGACATTGGAAAAACTCCCTGAAATATCAAAGTTTGAGGGTAGGTATGGGGGCTTAGAGCGTAAATTTTGTAGGCCACTCGGGTCTATATCGACATCGTCCATATTTACCAAAACTTAACAACAAAAATTAAACAATAACATCACGGAAAACGGCTAAACAACAAGAAAGGCAGTAGCATTCACAATGGATGACAATCCCAGATTACGATTTTAACAATTATGAATAAATAATAGTCTGACAAAATTAAAAAGCTGTACTACCTAAACGCTTGAAGGGGTTAGGCAACGTTTTAAATTTGGTAGAGTTATAGTGACATGAGACTCGTGCCGAAACTATCCAACCCTGCTTCTTTAGGTTCTTTGCGATGGACACTTTTTATTGTAATACTTATTAAATCATTTAAGTTAGTTATATACTCATAAATTTGTTTAATAGTTAGCTTAAATGACAACAGTTAAGTATAGCAGCTGATATTTAAGTGAATATGTAGCAAATTAGCCCTCAGTCTTAAAAGTAACATGATTATTGATATTTTATCACAAAGTATACCATAACAAGAACCTTATTTCACTTCTGTGCACAATGCTATAATGAATGGGGTATACAGAAGTATTTTATCATATTTCATGGAAATATATTGTTTATTCACTTGCATGACACTGTATGCTATCCTATACTATTCTATATCTTCACGCCCTTAGATTATTTATTAATAGTCACGCCGTATCCCTTAGAAGCTAAGCAGGCAAAGGACCGAACGCCGCAAAGTACGATACGCCATCTTTCAGCAGAACTTGCTTATCACCTTGTTTCAAATACTTATAACCATGTTTCAACTTTGCTTTTTCATTTCACTTTTAGAACTTTTTGTATAAAAAAGAATTCTAAAGTATTATGAACCATTATGGAAACAACTATAGCACCTTCGAAATATAACGCGTGAATGTCACATGCTTCGATCAACAATACTGGTCAAAGGTCAGTTGTCCTTAATTTGCAAGTGTAGGTAAAGAAAATTTATTTTTCACTCTTGTCCTTCTTCCTCTTTCATTAATGGCTTATCTGAGAATTTCGCACAATTCTGCCAATGTTAAGTGAATAATTATACTTTAGTGATTACACCTTAGCCAGACGATTACGGCAGACGTCTATTGTCAGCAATCACCAATTTCATATGTAAGGACCTAATATAATCATTGACGGCGCCGAGAACCTATACACTAAACTACCTGTACAATTCCGCGTTCCTTTCTTATTATTATAAAGGTCACTGCTGATACTTGAGTGACATTCGATAGACAGGTTCACTCAACTATGTATGAAATGCAACCTCTCACTATAGGGTCAACGGAGATATGGGTAGAGATAAAACTCTTAACTAGAGATCGCCTTAGGCTTTAAACCTTTTTTTGCAAAGACAGAATATTTATGTACATATGTCGTACGAGAAAAAAATATCCAAATATTTCTTTTTACAAGAAAATAGGATTTGAAATATATTAAATTGGACAGAGAGTCGTTGTGTAAAGAAATAGACCGAAGTATGTATCTTGGGTAATTTCGGTAAATTACATTATATATTTAAGAATAAACTTCTTCAAAACCTTAAGAACAGGGTTTATAACTGGGTGGACTGAAGTGAAGTTGAGTTGATTTTGTTTTCTTTTTTCGACAATAGGACTGATTATATTAAGGGGCTATACGGGAAATATTTTTAAGCAATTAGTGATTGCACTTTTGGCAACTTATTGCCCAGCACGGCCATCTCAGAAATTTTTTAACTTTTCAAAACACTATCGGTATACTATAAATATTATGAAATGAGACATATTATGGCCAGGATTAACTGCAATATTGTACAACCTGGATGGTATTTCTTGCAATATTGCGGGCTTTTTCAATAGCACGGAAGCTTAGAAGTGCTGAAGACGATGGTTCTATAATTTTGCATACGAGACACTCCACCATTGAGGTCGTCAGCTTTTTACGAGATTGATTTATTTGTAATGTAAATAAATTGAAAAAAAAAAATGGATTATGTACTTTTTGGTCTAGTGACATACTTACATTGGAACGTCAGTTGAAGGTTACGAAGGCGTTGATCGATTAAGTTACTGTGCATACGGTTTTGTAATTGTAAAGTATCCAATTTCGGAATGCCGATTTGAAATGTTGTCTGAATTATTTTTACTAAGAAAGCAGTTATTAGAGCTCTTAATAATAATTATGTTTTAGATAAAATTATATGTAATATATTAGCTGGGTGCGAAGTGGCTGGTGGGAAAATCATGATGAAAAAAGGAACTATCGCCATACGAACTATTACTTATTCCTAGAAAAATTATCGTATCCGTAAATTTTAAATAAAATAAATAAACATGAGTCACGAGTACTGTTGCGTAGTTAATGGTAAAAACAGTAATTGGTGACGAGAGGATAGAATAGAATAGAATAGAATAGAATAATTCTTTATTGTACAAAAACACCAATAAATAAAATAGGTAACAATAATATAGGACAAATAGTACAATCGGCGGCCTTATCGCTAAGAAGCAATTTCTTCCAGGCAACCGTTACTTTGGAAAATTTTAATTTAAATCAATAATTAGGTAGTCTATGGTATAATGCAATTGATAAGCCTATCAAATTTCTCAGAATTTGTTTTGATAATGTTTTGGATATTTACTGTGTATTAGTATTTTTTTTTTAAACAAATTAGCCTGTAATTGTTTTTTGCATAGTTTTCTAGATTTTTATGATGTTTCTAAGAATTAGATTCAATTTAAAGAAATCTGTAATGCTAGTAATAATGTAATACTATTGTTTTAAGTCGTTGCTCTTTTATGTTTTTAGGTCCAGCCTTAACTCAATCGGGAATGCAAAGTGTGCGACCTCGGTTACCGCGTCATTTCGCTACCGAGGCGGGCAAACTATTCAATTATCTTGCTGATTGACTGGTTGCGTAATGTTTGAGTTAATTAATGAACTAGTTAATTGAAAGTGAATTATTTTTGAATGACATTATTAGTCGTTTTAATTATGTTTGCAATAAATCTATCAATATTTCTCTGATAATATAAGGGTGCGACCGCCTAATTCTATAGCCATAAGATAAGACATCTTAGCGATGCTATAGCGGTAATTCGCAACTGTTTTAGTTGAGACTTTTTAGATGTGTGTGACTATTTGTAATAAAGGTGCTCGATCACGAGCTCGGTCTGCGATTCCGCTGTGAAGCAACTTTTTGCAATGGCCGGTCATAAGATGGGTGACCAAAAATTTATTATTTTGAGCTCTCCGTGTTTCGGAAGGCACGTTAAGCATTTGGTCCCGAATGTATGTGCAGTCGTTAATACCCACCAATCCACTTTGGGGCCGCAAGGTAGGTCATGACCCATTCTACCTATTCAATTTCATCCGATTCCTTCCATAGGAAAGGCCTGAGCCCCAGCAGTGGGGACATTAATAGGCTGGTGTGATGGTAGATGTGATTATTACATCATCATCATCATCAGCCCTTTATTTCGTCCCACCAACGGCTTAACCTGCCTTCTGAAGCACGGAGTAGCTCGAGATAATAATTTTTGGGTTACCCATCCCGTGACCGACCCTTGCGAAAGTTGCTTAACGACAACGGTCGCGGGCCGCGGCGCATATCCAATACGCTACCGAGCTACTCGATTACTACATAAAAAATCGCATTTCAAGCCCAGAATATCTTTTGGTTGATAAGAAGAACAACCTATCAATAAAAACGAGGAACAGCACACGTATGTCAACAACCAGTCTAAATACACAAGTGCAGTAACTTCCATAAAAATGACAGGAGCACGTTGACAGAAATAATGATTTGTGAGCACGATAACTTAATATTACCAATGCGCGCGTAGTCTTATTATTTACTTTAGTAGAGAATATGTAGACATAAAATACCTAATTGTTTCATTAAAAAAAAAACAGTTTTTGACATGGAAGTTATATTCTAAATCCATGTCAAAGATTGATTTTCGTTCAATCAAACGCTTGTTTAATATTTTGAATTGTTTTCAGAAACAATTAAAACTAACAATTAATTATCTTGTTTTTTTCTTTCCTTTATTTATTTTCCCTTCTCTCTTTTCTTCTTTCCTTTCTTTCTATCTTTGCTTATTTCCTCCTTTATTTATTTATTTCTTTTCTATATTTTCTTTCTTCTGTTTCTTTTCCTTTCACTTGCTTAGTATCGTGTAAAGAAAATTTGGCCACATATCCCATTACCGGCCTTTGCAACGCGATATCGCTCATCGATATCGAATTGCATCGCATCGAGCCATGAGTAAAGATTCTAACTCCCAGAAATATTGATTTAGCGGACGTGGAACCAAAAGCTTCCTGTTAACTTTGCGAGGTTATCAGTTAACCTTATGGAAGTCCTGCCCTTTGCCAACCTATATCTTATATTATTTCTTATACGATGTTTAATTTGAATAAAATACAATTGACTACTGATTAATTGTTAATTGTGACATTTCAATTAATAATTCTTATTCCGCCATTAACAATTAATTGTTAATCGCTTTTAAAATTTGCCTAACACTGATGTAAACCTATATCATCATAAAAAATATTAAATTCTAAATAATATTTGATTTGACTTTGAAGTCGTTTATTCTGATTTTTGATTATATAGAATACCTCTGGTTTTAATTGATCCGGATAATCGGATGATGATGTTATATGATATAAGATATTGTTTGTCGTTTTAATGGAATAGAAAAATTTTGTCACTTCACTATATCGCGACACGATCCTGAAACTTCGGAGATGTTCATACTCAGCAAGGACGTGATTAGTTGCTCACATTCGGAGTTCAATTAAATGTAAGGTCAAGGATATAAATATCAAAAGCGGACGTAGAATTCGTGATCCATTAAAAAGGATTTGATATTAAATATGTAGTTCATGGTTATATTATTTATAAAAAAAAAACTTATTTGCAGTTACTAAATTGAAATTGCGATTGAGAGAAAAGGTCATTCAATAATATTGCCAGTATGTGATGACCGTTTTTCGATACAGGAATCATTTATGATATTCATAAATGACTAGTTGACCCGATATACGTTGTCCTGTCTTAATTATGAATATTGAATTCGAATTGGATAAATTACTCAGACAGAAGTATCAGTTTGAAACGATATTCAGTATTTTTTTTATATTTGTTGATATTTTCAGCACGCATTCTGTCAATTCTATGTAAAACGTCATAAAGACGAAAATATAATATAAGATACCTGACAAGAAGAACAAGCGAAAGAAACTTACCAGCTCTTTATCATAAGTAATGCTATTTACATAAATCATGTCATTACCAAAATAATATGTATTATAACAATAATAAATACAACTTTCAAAGCCTGTAGGAGATAGGTTGAACGTATAAGTAGTCTTTACAGAACAAAGCGAAGGCTAATAATTCCATGCATTGCGCTCGTTAAAATAATCAACTTTATAATAGCGTTTACTCATAAGTATGTTCTTTACATGAATTTTAAATTTATTTATGGGTAGATCAACTACATTTTGTGGAACTTTATTGAACATAGCAATGCATTTACCCAGAAATGATCCTCTGGTTTTCTGAAGTCTAAAGCTTGGAACGGCAAGTTTATTTTTATTTCTTGTGTTAAAATTATGAACACTACTTTTTTTTGTGAAGAAATCGTAATGTTTTCTTGCGTAAATAATATTTTCATAGATGTATTGGGAGGCAACAGTCAAAATATTTATTTCTTTCAATATTTCTCTGAGAGATTCTCTAGACCGTAAATTATATTTAGCGCGGACAGCTCTCTTTTGTAGAATAAAAATATCTTGAATGCTAGCCGCAGAACTCCACAACGATAGACCATACGTCATTACACTATGAAAATAACTAAAATATACCAATCTTGCTGTTTCAACATTTGTCAAGAGTCTAATTTTCTTAACAGCAAATGCTACAGAACTCAGTCTACTTGACAAATTATTATCAATATGAGGATCCCATTGCAGTCGGGAATCTAGTGTAATACCAAGGAACTTTGTCGATTTCACCAACTCAACTTTTTCACTATTTACATTTATAAGTGTATCAACATGCATTAGGTAATGCAAACTTTATGCATTTCGTTTTATTCGAATTAAGCTTTAAATGATTACTGTCAAACCACTGTAGAACATTATCGAGAGCATCATTTACATCGTCAAAACAATCATTACCCCTCTTAAATTTAAACACTAAAGTGGTGTCATCAGCAAATAATACTGCCTCAACAAATTCTTCGATGGGTAACGTTATGTATAACGGAGGCATGAAATTGAATAATTGTTTTAGCCTTTTCAGTTAGTTGTTTTTCATGCAGGTGGGTTTTTGTTTCTTTGCCAATTTGACTCAAATGGACCAATATTGTTTTGATGCTAACATCAAAAATTGTAGCTAATTTAGCTGTAGTTTGAGAATCGTAAGTTTCCACAATCGACTTTAATTCCTCATTGTAGACTAAAGTTTTCGGCCTTTCACATCATACATTGGTTACATAGATTACAATTTACTCGGTCGTAGTCGCGGAAAAATAGCTAGTGGAGTTAATTTCCATTCTCTAGTAATAGTTACTTTACTTCGGTGATTGTTAAAGCGGCGATTATATTTTAGCCAGCCCTGTACCGCCACGCACTTATCAGTTTCATTCTATTTAATAAGTTATATAATGTATAACTTATCTGTAATAATATTATAAAGACGAAGGATTTCATTGTTTCTGTTTTTTGTTTGCATCGAATAGGTTTACCGATTAAAAAAATCTTTCACCTACGGGTAGCTATATTGTATGCGGTTTACATTGATATTGGCCATAATTTAGGCATCGCGGGCTAGTATAATATAATTTTATAATATACTTATACATATTATGATAAGTTACATAAGTCGAACCAATGTTACTTAGAATGGAGCATAGGGACTTAATATTTTATTATAAAATTATCAACAATCATGTTGATTCTCCTTATTTACTCTAATTTGTAAAATTTCTATGAATACGCCCGAGGGCCTGTGTTCTAGCTATACTTTTTGCGTTTCTTCTGCGACCAAATCTATGACAGCGGCGCTACGCGTCATTAATTAAATATATATACATAAGTGTAACTGCTGTATATTAAAGATATTCGTATCATGGACACTTTGGTGGTCAGTTTATGGTCAAGAGGGCAACGTGGACAAGGCCTCGCGGGATTGTGCTATGTGACCTTTGCGTACATGAAAACGATACGCATCGCGTATGGATGGTTTTATGCAATTAAAAGCGTGTATTATGGAAATTTCTTATCAATATTAATAAATTCTGATCGGTAGTCGATCAGTCAGCCTGATAGATTACTCAGTAGGCAGGGCCGGAGTAGCCACATAGCAAAAGTAGCAAATGTTACGGGCCTCGCGTGTTTGCGGGCCCCGCGCCATTGGGAGGCTGTGGTTCAGAGCCAATTAATTAATTTTTCAAGTCAGTGTTAATTAATGCAAGAAATAAAATATGCCACGCTTCTGACTAGTCATATTTTTAAATGTGAACATAAATTGACAAATAAAACTCAAGCCACAGATTAGTTGTGTTGTGTTATTCGGGCCCCACTCTGGCTTAATTCGGTACTGTCAGTAGAGCAATTCTGCTGAAGTTAGCGACAGGTAATAGCGCTTCAATTGTAATAATAACCCTTTATAATACGGTTCTTGTTACAAGATGACAAAAGAATATAAAAAGTGCTTTGGATAAAACTGAAAGCGGGTTATTCCGAAAATGATATTAGGCAAGCAATATGTTGATTTTATCAAATACATGATTTTATTTATTAGAAGCATTTTGCTTAGTCACGTCCTCGGATCAACATCGATCGCGTTCTAATTTCAAAATGGATTAAGTATTGAGTCGATTTAGTGCGCTTAATCCAGTCGCGGCAGACGCCGAAGTGCGCGCGCTATTTTGTTATTGTTAAGTTGTCTGTTTAACAATTAGTTTTTATTTATTTATTTGTTATTAAACATTAAATAAAATGTTGAAGTGTGTCCTAGTATTCGTTATGGGTAAGTTTTTATTTAATATAAAACCGTTAAGTGTGTTTTTATATAGGCAATTATATAATGTTAGGGATCGCTTTCAAATAGGGGGTGATATTTTTTATATTTGTATTTTCAAAAAGAAATTCTTAAATATCCCACATAAAGGTTCTCTGGTGATAACGCATAATAAATCTATTTTTTATTTGTTACTTTTGTTAAAATTACAAAATGTATTTTAATGAATTTTGGTATTCGTATAATTCTAAGTCTAAATTAACAGCTTCTTTTTTCAAACCAAAAGGTTCTTATTAGTAATGCAACAGAATTCTGTTTCTTATTATGCAACTGTAGAAATTCCACGTTTTCCGACATCCGTTTCTGTTTCTGATTACCCTGTCTCCTTTATAATGGAAATTTAAACGGAACATTACGACGCACGGTTTGTTTGGAAGCTTATTTGTTTGTTTATTGGAAGCGCGCGAGAGGGGAGAAATGTTCCCGGCGCGCGTAAGACGGGCGCGTACGCGCGTCACTTGTTGTGGTTTGTCGCTACGTGTTTATAAATTTATAGTAAAAAATAATATTAATTATAATATTGTGATACTTATTCTATCATAAAGAATAATATATACAGTATTATAACTTTTTTCATAGTATTTACACTGCCGTTTCCGCATTCGTTACTGTTTCCGTTTCTGCTTATATTTTATTTTTGGTCCGGTTCTGTTTCTGCTTCCGTTAAGTAGCTCCCGTTGCATTATTAATCCTTATCAATCACCTGGCCAAAGCAGGAGAAAGGCAGTAGTTATATTATTAAGACTGGTAAGGAACGGATCGCGGGGGTGTCATAGAGGTCACGATCCCCCTAATATACTGGGTCCACTAATTAAAATTATTAAACATAATGTTTTAACATATTCTTTGTCACAATATTGTTTTTTTTAAAGTACTTTTAATATTTATTTAATATAATACAATTTATAGATGAAATAATTACGCGTTTCGGGAGAAGACATAATATGATTTTATTTTCGTTATTTAAATATACATAGGTATTTTTAAGTACAATTTTTACATTTATTAAAAAAACCTATTGTTAAGTATTCTATTATTATCAGAATTCAATTATAATTTCTTATGACTTGACCACGACTCCTGGTGCCAAAGCTGAATCCGCCCTTATAGAGAGGGTGAGCCAATTTTGCTAATTTTTATGTATATTTTATAGCTCCACTAACTATTTTCCCGCGACTACGCACGAGTAAATTGTAATCTATGTCATCCGTGTATGATGAAGAATTTTTAAAATCGGTCCAATAATAAATGAACTCCGTGGTCGGCCGAAAACTTTAGTCGACAATGACGAAGTAAAGTCGATTGTGGAAACTAATGATTCGCAAACTACAGCTGAATTAGCTGCAATTTTCGATGTTAGCATCAGAACAATATTGGTCCATTTGACCTATTAGAGACACTAAGCAAGAAGTAAACAATACCGCTTAGCTTAGAGCGATAGCTTGGATCTTTAAAACTACGCAACGGATTTTGATGTGTTTTTTTTTTAATTGGTAAGGTGACTCAGAAGGAAGGGTTTCATGTATAATAACAAGACCAGGCGAAGCCGCTGGCTGAGCTTAATTTGATAAAGGATAGATAGAAAAATAAAATAGTGTTCCAAAGACAAAACAAGAAGTAATTAATTTGTTAAAGCATATACCTATAGGAAATAAAGTAGTATTCCAAAGTAATAATAAAAAATAAAGTTAATTTCATAATATCTTTGTTGTAATACTCGTAATAAGTATTGGAATGTGGTTAAGAGTAGTGAGTATATTTACCTAAATGGAAATCGAATCGGTGACCTTAAGCTGCAAACATTCGTTTTCCGTGTTGTGTGCGGCGAGGCTTATACGTTTAATCGGAACCTTTCTTACTACCACAGACTATCTAATAATAACCATGATATTGCGTTATATCTAACGCTCCGTCCGTCTATCGCTGAATAAAGTCCAACACATTTTCTTACTTCTATGCCAATTTTGATATATCTCTCTCTTAATTAAATAATCGTATTTAGAGTTTGTCCGCCCGTCTGTCTGTCTTTTTGGTTTTCACCAGGCTATATCTTACCAACCGTTACACAGTTGAAATATTCACAGATTATATGTTTCTTTTGCCTTGTTGTTGTTTCCTTTTAAGAACATTTGTTTTCTTTTAAGAACATTTAAAAGAAAACATAACCTGCCTGAAAAACTAGACTTAAAAATTTCTAAATACTAAGTGACGCCTAAGCCACACACAAATTATGCTTCTCTTTAGGTAGTCTTTGTAAAAAATCTCAGCAAGCATGAATTCTGTTCGTAAATCTACTAACTCTTTCTCTTTATTACTACTCAGAACATTTCATATGATGGTGGATCAATAAAATGATGGTAGATGACAATGTCCTTGCCTTGAGAATAGAACACTGGATCTTTTGCCGATCGAATAACTCCTTGATAATCAACATATAACGTTATCTTTGCAAATTGCGGTAACCCGATTTTAGTAGTACTCATATTTTACAATAGCTTCAAATTTAATTATACAGTCCTTAAAGATCTGTCAGTGTGGGACTGTTATTAAAATATTTATGCTACTTAGTCAATACTCATTTTATAAAAAGGAAAGATTTTATTGTTATATAATTTACTTAGTATTATACACAATTATATCAGATATTATTGAATTCTAGCGTTAGCAGTAACAGAAAGCCAGTTACCTTACGACTACTACCACGATTTGCACCTGCCACACGATCCTCCCCTCCACCCAGTGTATTCACAGCCCCCCCATACCGAGTTCTCCTGTGTGGGACGCGGGCGTGGGTACTATGCCGATGTGTACTCAGGATGTCAGGTATTGATTAGCATATAGCATCCAATTTTTTTTAGTGATAATTACCATTTTTTATTAAACACAGCCGACCCAGCGAACTTTGTACCGCTATATTATATTTCTCCAGTTGCGACTGAGGATTTTTTTAAAATCATTTTCTTAAATACAAACCTTGTTCTGACCTGACAGTAAGGAATTCATAAAAAAAGATTCATCTAAATTGATGTTGTCGTTCGGAAGTTATGCGCGTACATACATTTTGGCGATACAAAGAAGCATCTTTCAAATTTTGTCCTTAAAACAATAAATTTTAATCAATTACTCTATCAAACAACATAAAAAGGGGTTTACGGAATTAAAGTTAGTATTGAGAGCACGACGATATCATGAGCATATCATGCATGCATCCAGCCAGTCTTTACCTACTACATACAAAAAAGTAACAATTGGAAGCACCTATTTTCAATCCATCTAAATTATTATAGGGAATCGCAGTGCGGTTTTTTCGGCTTTCAACCTTAGGGGTTCGGAATCATCTTCCCAACGTGGGAAGGTGGCGGTGACCCCTTCATTAGATACCACACAGTTGTGAGGTTATGTTAGACTCCTACTGACTAAACACCACCTTGGATATACGGTTGCGTGCCCTTAAGGGGCAACGAACCGTACACCGGAGCGACCACCCCTCTTCTAGGCGCAGACTCACATTTCACCTACGTAGAGTATGACATCGAGATGTTAGACGTTAACCCTGAAAATATAGCTGACTCCCTGATGGCGAACGATCAGTCATATCGGATGGAGGGAGTCGCGCGCTATGGTGCTCGGGTTATATAGCTTACAGGGACATCGGGCCATTATTGAGTCCTATTATGGATCGGTGTACATGTACAGATATAGGTATACGAAGTACATAAAAATAGTCATATAAACGATATAATAATCGACTTTTTTGCAAGCCGCTTAGTTTCTGTAATCACACATCCGCCCTGCTAACCATTGGCCTATTGAGAACCTCAAAGGAAAAATATATTCATTGTACATAAATATTATCATTTCAGGCGTATCACTTCTGCTGGCGACAGCGGCTAGTCAACACAGATCTCTGTGCCAACGGCACACTATTTAATGAACAGTTCCAGGTAAATTACCAAAACTTTTAGCTGCGATCTTTTCGGTTCTCATATTAAGACATTAAACAGTAAACTAACTTCTTTTGAACAGTTATCTATACAGAAGTTATGTACATTTTTTGGGCACGAGTTTCTAGTGATCGAACATAATTTATCTAAATTAACTTAATCATCAGATGTAATAAAAAACATGATTATATAATTTCACCGATATGTACTATAATATAATAGGTCTTTTCTATTGAACTAGCGACTGCAATGCACCTCATTAAATGCTATTAAAGACCATTAAATTATATCACTATTGTACTAACTAAAAGTACGTAAAAATAACCATAGCGTTTCCATTTTATAAAATTAAAAACTTAAAACATCTGAAAATGTAAATTATTTGTGGTTTCAGGTTTGCGATCATTTCTACAACGTGCGATGTGGATCTCCTTTCGAAGACTTGTGAATAAATTTTATAATTAAATAAATTTATTTATTGTAATCGTGAACTTTATTAAATCATCCCACTAATATTATTACAACCTCCGTAGCCTCGTGGTCGCCATTTCTGACTTGTCTCAGATAGTCTATAATACGGGGACTTTAGCTACTCATCTTGGAATATGAACAATGTATGTGATATTATCTATTATTTATTTATATATATTATGATGGAATTTGGCTAACGGATAATTCTAAGCCTGAATTATTATATAGGCCTTTTTTTACCCCACTAAACAGTCCCCTTGAGGTAAATATTATTTTAAGTTAACAAGCTTTTATTACGTTACTTGATTATTCAAAGCATCCTTGAGTCCGATTGCGATTAGGTAAGAATTTAATGTTATTCGATTCCATTAGTCGCTCTCACAATAGCTATACCTTCGAAAGGGACTGCGTTAGATACACTGCTACTGCTATTTATTTTGTAAGTGAAATAGAATCCACTGTAAATAAATAAAATAACAAGTTATTTAAAATAGAAAATTTATTCTTATAAAAAATATAAAATGCGTGATAATATCCCTTTAAGTGATGTATTGAGTATCATGATAAGTCTTTCGTTTTCTAGAAGCATTGGTATTGTCTAGGTTTTTAAAAAAATATCGAAATGAAATAAGTATATTTGATATCTAACGGAAATATAAATTAAACTTTAAACAAGTACCTAATATCGAATATAACGCTTTTGCCACATATAATTTGACTTTGAGTAATTAATATTCTTGTAAATGTACACACTTCTGCACATAAAGTTACCACAATATATCAAAATTCCGGAAGTGATTTTAAATTCTACCAACAAAACATTAAGGCTTAAAATACGAAGAAGAAATTCGACAGACCTGTATAACCTGACATGAAACATTAATTGATTGATCTTGTTTCCAGTCCGCTAGTTTTAGCCTGTGTTCTATAATACCGAATAAAAAAATATTATATTTATTTTACTGCATTATTACTTCTTATAAATGCAATCTTATTTATAGGCCTTTCGACTTGTGGGCTAATTGTTTAATTTTGAAATCAAACCAATCTATTTCAAAGTGATTGTTTTAACGACAGATGGAATTATGTACTGTTTAAAGTAGCAATTGCTTTCGGAAAGTATAACGATTTAAATTATCAAGAAATATAATAAGACACTCAGTAACTCGTACTTAAAGTAATATTACTTCTATAGTCTCATGGCCAGTTACTGAATTGAGAAAAGTACAAAACTCAACTGATAATTCTCAATAACTTATTTTACAAGACAAAAAGTCCTAGTTTTATCAAACTGCTATCCACTGATCATTAAAAAAATAAATCAGAAACGAAAACCTGTTCAAGTGACGTTTAAGTACAGTTTGAGACGTGCTTGACTTTAAACACTCAAATTAGAAGTCGGGTATTAGACAATTCCAATTAACATAAAAGTTCATTAAATATCTTAAAAAAAAAAACGTTTCAATCGCAATTGTTATCACACGTCAACTAATTGTAGTGCGATGTTCGTGAATATCTTTGAAATGTCAAATTGATAGGGAATGAGATAGATTTAAAAATTAGAAAATTAGGCACCCGTCTCTCTATAATATTGTGTTATATTGTAATTGAAATGCGTATTTATTATTTCAACAAATTCTAATAAAAACTATATTTAAATTAAGTAATTTCTTTCTTAAAACTATTGATATTTCATAAGCAGAGGACTATTTTCTTTTATCTTATATACTTAAATTAAGGGCAGTAACTTAAAAATATAACAAATTAGCCTACTCGATATTTTTTCTTAATCTTTATTTTTTTTTTTTTTGTTTGACAATCATCTGTTTGTAAAAATATATTAAATAATGCTTTGGACTTTTGAATATTGACGAAAGAAACACATGATTATTACTACTTGTACGAATTAAATGAAGGCCTCTTCTATATCTACAAAAAAAATATTTCGTCTGTATTCGAAATGCTAGTAAGACTCCAAAGAAACGTGTTTTTTGGTAATTTATGATGCAACGGAGATAGGACCTGACATTGCCTCTGCACAGATAATCCTCACAGATGTGAATTTAATAAAATTGTAAGAACATTCGAATATTACCGATTTTATTTTTCGTGTACGACAAGAATAGGCCTTCAGTTGTCATGTTAATTCGTACGAATTATATAAGTGTTCCTTTTACTTAACGATTTTTTTATTGTCATGGAGAATTCTCGTAAGATATATTTTGAAACTTTCTAAATTTTATATACATAATACATTCATCACATTTTACAGATATATTCCTATAAAAACAACCTATATTTTAAGCGCAATCAAAGTACATAACATAACCGCAAGACTACACCCTAATCTGCTAGAAGAATCAGGTTCATCTTTGTCGTCTTCTATAACATTCTGTTTGTTAACTACTTCCATTTCGTCTAATATTCTTTTCTCTTCTACAGCTAACATGGCGGCGGAATTGATGGTTTCCATTAGAGGGTAGTTTGAATATTGCGGCAAGGGCGTTCGCAAGTTTAGTTTGCCGTTGGACACGGAGTAGGCCGTACGTTTGTTGAGACGATTTGCTGTAAAAAAGTAATATAAATGATTATTTTCTTCTCAAAATGTCCTTAAAATTATGACAAATTTTAAATTGGTTACAATAAAATTATGAAGTCCAAATATTTGTAATTTAACACAAAAATATATTTTTATTTATTTTATAAATTCATACTTGGGTAAGAAAACGTGTAAGAAACTATGAAAACGTGAATTTTAAATATTCTATTACCAAAAAGGTGATAAGTTACTATGTTATTGTATTTTTGATGTGCAATGCTTGTTTTTGTATCATTGAAATAAATATTGTCAAGATCTAATCAACGATATTTGTTACAATAAATGTCAATAGAAATGAGTGTATCATATTTTCTCTTCTAAATTTAATCAAGTAGGTATTTTTGTCAAATTTATAAGTCCATCAAAGAAGGATTTACAATATTTGATAATTGTATCGCCTTTATGGAAGGCGTAACCAATTAAAGTGATACCCACTATAAATACCATTGCATAGCGCAGTCTGTACTAGCGTTGTGTTACTCACTCTTTTTTAATGAGGATGAGTGAGTACCTTATTTTCCCTCGTGAGGGGCTCGCGAGTTACCCCTCATTTGAGGTGAGGATAGGTAATGTTATAGTAGCAGTGAATGAGTACGTAGCGAGGCGCACGCGACATTGCCGTTTGGTACAAAATGAATGAGGGAGTCGGTAATGCTAAACAAAACATATTTTGTCTTTTGATTCTAAGAAATAAACTTTATTAGATTATTATTTAACAGAATGACCACAACACGCAACTTATTTGCAATAGTGTCAAATGTTCCTTTTTTAAAATCGATCAATCATTTTTATTTCGAATCATATAAATATATTTCTAAATAAAACCGATACATTTTTATTAACTTGATTTTTACTTAGACTAATTAATATCATTTATCTATAAAATATTAAATACGTATTTGCGAAGAAACACATAAACAAACCTGAATCGTTCCAAAAAACTCATAAAACTTAACCCATTCCCTCAATCTTGAATATATTGAGTAAGTATCGAGTCGCTTTTTCATTCGAAACAACTCGCTATTTAGCTCCTCACTCAAAAAGTGAGGAGCTTAAAGAGGTGGTTTAAAATTGAAAAACTTTGTCGAAATGAGGAACTCAAACGAGGCACCTCGCGAGTGAGGGGCTCATCACTAGTCTGTACTCATTCTCGCGGATTCGTCGTGGTGTATAGACGTATGGGTAAACATTCTCAATAAAACTGTCACTTCGACCGTTTTTGTATTAAGTTATCGGTTCTTACTGATTTAATATACGAGAAATTATTTAGATTAACTTTTTGGAATTGCTGTTCTATTATATTATTATTATTTTAGTACATTAGTGCTCTAGGATGATTTTAATATTTTTTTATAGTTACAAAGTATTGAGTGATAATATAAAATATATATGTTAGTTATTAATAGAATCATATTATAAATATACTTTGATGTCACATATTCGACAAAATTTCTGAATATACTCACTGTCAGGTAGATTTAGCGTTTTCAATGCTTCATTGAGTAGAGGATCGTCAATTAGTTTATTGTATCTCTCTTCGAAATCTACAAATGCATTCAATTCATGCTCGCAAGCACCTTTGAAATCGTCAGTGTCTATACTCCAAACCATAAGACCTCCTAGACCGTAGTCAATAGCAGTTCTGAAAAAAGGAAATATGAGTGAATTTCGTAATGTAAATCATAATAGATATCCCATATCGTCGCTTATATAACAAAATGTATCGCGTAAGTCCAAAATTGGTGATGTAACGTATTATAACGTTTTATTTCTACTTTTAGTGTTGGAATCCATTCATCGGAAGATGTGACAATTCCATTGTAAAAATATATTTTTTTGCTGCTACAACGGAAATATTGTTTTTGCATTCAGAGTCACGGGAACGTATAGGTCAATAAATGTGAAGCGGGTTATCGCATACTAACATTATCCCAGCAGGCGATGCGAAGGCTAACGTCGCCCCCACAATTGACAGAAATACAAACTAAATACTTTCAACAACCAGAAACGAGATGGCGCTATACTACTAAAAAAGGGCAAATGCTATACTAAAAGTTATATAGAACAAAGACAACCTGCATCGTCCTTATAAATTTTCAACGCTACTTTATATAAAGTCCAACCTACATCGCTTGGCCTAGGGACTCTCCTGGTTAACAATACTCAACTCGTAGTCAGACATATAAAACCTTGAGACTATTTGACTCGATCCGATGCCAAACATGACAAAGTCAATCGCTGCTGTTACTTACTTGACTTTGATTGCTATGGAGCGTGCATTGTCATAAGATATTAACCTCTCTCCATCTCGAAGGTATGGTGTGGCAGACTGCTCGTGCCAATGGTGTGTCCAGTTCGATGATTTGTTACTGATCTCTTGGCAAATCTGCGAGAAGATTCGCAATTGTAAGACATGTTTATAATATTTTTGGTTTCTACTGTCTATGTAACGGCGCACTGAGGAAAAGACTTGAGAGAATTTTTGATTCCTCCTAAAGTTAATAAATGTGTTTTTCTATACGATAAAATAAAAAGAAAAGGTAAAATAAAATAAAAAAATAGATTTTTTTTACATGCATGTTTTAAAGTAAAATTAATTAATGATTACCTCATTGTATCCCATAAACCCTGCTTCCCCAGTATACGGTCCTTTAAACCCGGCTGCTTGTACAGACGTCCTACCAAATTCAATATTTCTTACAGCTGGATCTTTTAAGATGAAAGTTCTACCGTACATGGGCAATCCCATGACCAATTTGTATGGGCTCACACCATGGGACAGCATGTATTTAATCGTGTATTCCTGAAAAATAGAGTGCAGTGATTTTAACTATTTAAACATTTTCGTATAACATACTTATTCACTGAATATACCGATTTACGGGAACTCTAAAAATCAGAAGAGGTTTTTGTTATTTTTTTCAATATATCAAATCATACTAATACTCGACACACGTAATAACAAAAAACGACACTAGTTTTAATAACTACATAGAAGAATAATCAGGGAAACGTTCTTCGTTCGTTATCAGGCAAATCTTATTTTATAATAATAAATAAGCACCCATGGGTTAATAAATAAGTCAAATGTGTCCAATAGTATTGTTTTGAAGGTAGCTATACTCTTAATTAAAAAAGACAATCGACACCTTAGTCGGAACCTATTAAGGGTCTGAAACGTCAATAAAACTAAATACAAACGCGATGAAACCGTTTCAAAGTTGTTTCAATTATAAATAATAGTTTCAGAACACGTGCGATTCCATACCTATAACCTTAAATATAAAAAAGAACTTTACAGAATGCCGCTCTGAGCCTTAGCGTTGTGGTATGTTCTGCTTATGTGATTCTTCCGATGAAATATCGTGACCTAGAAGTGGGAGTATTATGTTGACTACGAGTTAGGCTGATTATGATTAGACTTAAAACTATACTTACGACATTTAATACGTCTGCGTCATTTATACCCTTGAGAGGAGCATTAGCTCCAACCGTACCATCCCATGTGCCGTGGTAATCATAACACATCATATGAATGAGGGTTAGATATCTGCTCAATTTCGCTAGGTCGTAAGCAGCATCCATTGTATCTTTGCCAGCACCCAATGCCGCTGTTAAAATATATCCTTTAGGTTTGAATGCTTCGCTGAGTTCCTGTGAATTGGAATTATTTTTGAACTCTCTTTAATAATACATTTAGGATTTTTACGAAGTTATTCATTACATAGAATAGGCTAGTTGATTATTTTATTTTATAAATGAATAGTCCATTAGTATCTGAGGGGTAATGCGATGAAGCAATACCGTGCTTGTGGAATTGCTGCTAGTCGACCGAAAATGCTCCTTACAAATTCAAGCCACTAAGTGACGTCACTAGGTGCTATGGTATCGAAAAATGTATGGGCATCTTTATTTGTACGTTTATGTTTATAACTGTAATAATGAAAATTATTACGGATTATGTGACTAATTTAATGCCATATGTATTTTAGCAAATTTAACAGAAACCTGTATTTTAACTTGTAGACTATTCAATTTCGGTAAGCATACATTGACAGATATGAAATCTCGCAAATTTTGGTAGTACAGCAAATGCATATCGAATGTGGCAAATAGAAACTTCTACAATATTAAATATTAATTCTTGTACATTTATAAGATAAGATTTTGACATACATTCATCTTATGTATGTCAATTAGTAAAGTAGTAAATAAAGTACCGAATCAGATACTTCAAGAGAGAATGTGTACCTTGACAAGTTCCACATAGTTAGCTTTGTCTTCTGGACGGCCGTCTCTCCTTGCAGGATATTCCCAGTCGAGATCTAACCCGTCAAACTTGTATTGGCTAAAAATTAAATAAAAGCAAAAAATTGAAGTAAAATATATAAATAGCTATCATTATTCACTTCTCATGTTAGAATAGGCATATTTTTATTTAATGTAGAGATGACACACTATTTCATATCATATCAGATTTACTTCACAATGTGAGAAATCATAGAAGTTGTAATCGAGTTTTATAAAATTATAAAAAGCACTTAACGACCTGACCTCGAATCCGAGAGTACAGATTTTAAACAGATTTAATCTTGTGTATTGTCTTTACCTAGTCAAATCTTTTCGATTACCGCATTTGGTTTGTTATGTGCAGATTAAGCCTATATAGCATTTGTTATAACAAAAATTTGTTTAATCCCCACATTGGATGGATGGCCAAAAATTTGTGTGTGCTTTGGAAATCGAAAGTCACGTTAAGCTGTTGGTCTCCGCTGCATCTCCACTAATCCGTAAACAAATTTCTACTTACTCCAAAAAGACCAGAACGCTCTGTATAAACTTCTCTCGATTCTCCCGAGTGGAAGCCATCTTAGAATACTTCAGGGAGCCTTCGTTCCATCCGCCTATAGCAATGGTTACCTTCAAATGTGGGTACCGGTTTTTCAAGTTCACAAGTCTTTTGTAACCGCCTTTGCCATAGTCTTTCTCTAAGTCTTGCCAAGGGTCTACGAAGGAAACGTGAGGTTAGAATTTCGATACTTCCAATAGAAGTTTAATGAGATACAGTAGAAGCTCCTTATTCACGGCTTCATTATTCGCGGGTGAAAAATTTGTAACCGAATTTCTGTACTCGCGGCTAAAATCTGCGTATTAGCGGATGCAATCGGTAACATAAAGGAATGCAGTGTCGTTTATTGACGCATCGTGATCTTTGAAATACTTCGGGCATGTGTCAGGGTGGCTTTTACAATGCCTTATAATTTTTGCTCCGTCGTAGCATTAATAAAATACTTTAATAAAAGCTATATTATTAACGCTACAGTTACTTAGTTATGAATCTGAAATTAAAGATATTTAAAAACTGGAAAAAAAGATAATGAATAAAAATTTTAATAACCCTTATTTGTAGCTGACAATAAAGATTGATTTTAATTGGTAGTTCTTCAGTAATCTTACTCCAATTGTATTTATTTTGTCATACATTTTGCTTTTATTTAGGAACTTTTGAACGTATCCTCTATTATTCTATACGAAATGCCATCCCGTATTCGAGTTTTCTGTATTCGTGAAAATATGCCATCCACCGCGAATAAGGAGCTTTTACTGTATATTCAAACAGTCATGCTGCCATGGCTTTGAAATATAGAAAATATAGAGGTTTCAAATCAAATAGTGTTCTTATTGAAAAATGCTTAAAAAAATCCATTTTATCCCTTGCACTCTGAGATGGGACTCGAATCCATGACCTTTCGCAATCCGGGTGTGTTTTTACTAGGCTAAGTGCTTTAGGGCTTACTGAAAAGTCTGCAAGAGGTTTATATAGATTATTTAAAAGTCTTAGCTGTATTTTTTATATCATCGAAATACATTGTATGTTTTACATAGTGTAAGAGAAGTATCGCGGGGAGGAAAAATAAAGAGAGATTTTAATTGTTTTTTAACACACGTGATATCTTAATCTTCACTTTATCACTCACCAAGACTCTTGATAGCCATTTTCTCTTCATCCAAGCCAGCGAAGGAGTAGACTAGGTGAGTGCACAGTGCTGGCTCCAAGTCTTCTAATAAGAACTTACCGGCGTCAGGCCGATATGCTGCCCAGGTGGCTACGTAGCATACCACCACTTTGTCGTGCATAGGACCTGAATTAAAAAAAAAATGTTTTCAAATAGGTAATATAGCGGGCTTACAATATAGAAAACTGAAATAAATACAAAAAACATAGTCCACTAAAATATAATTGAAAAAATAAAACCAACTTCAAAATGTTTAATAAAAGTGCAAAATAACCGCTCGAATTCAAAAGAATTATTAATTATAAGAGTTTCTTGAATAATTGTCTATTATGTTAAGCTTTTTTGAAATCTGTTTTATTTTTTTTACTCCTTTTTTGAACACGTTTAAATTCGAGTTTTTATCTTCAAAATTAGTAATTCAATTTTAATGAAGAATTACCTAAGTTGGAAGCTAATTAATGAAACAACAAAATAATCAGAGATGTACAAAATACCCTGTACAAAGTATCTGGAATACAAGATACAAAATACTTTTAAATTAAGTATTTTAGATACCAGATACGAAATACTTTCGAGAAAAGTATTTGAAATACTAGATACAAAATAGGTATCTTATAAATACTTTTGATAAATACAAATACTTTTCTAAAAAAAGATTTGAATTTAAGTTTGTTTATTAAAGACCACAAGAACCTAAATCTTGGACCAGATGGGAGCAGGGACAAAGTGGATTTTTTAAGCATTTTTCATTAGAAACAATTTTTACAAGCCTTTATTTAGTTTCACCTGTACCGGTGTTTGTACTCAAATCTTACAAACTAAATTTCACCCACTTTTCCTCTGTTTGGAGATAACAAATTAAAAAAGTCTGAAATGTTTTTTTTTTGTTTGTCAATCACAATGTAACATATAAAAATGCAAATATTTAATACATCAGGTTTAAATTATTTTAAATTTTCAGTTCCTTTTTAATAATAAGTTTTTTCAATATAGCATTGTGAATGAAAAATTGCTCAAATATAACAACAAGAATAATTATTTAAATTTAATTATAAAATTATTATTTATTTAAAAAGCTGGTTTATGGTAGTGTATGGTGTATTACACCGGTATTACCGTACGTTCAGTTCTACGCATTTACTTTTTAAATGACACCAAACAATGTTTGGATTCAAGTTATTTTCAACTAAATATTCATTGCGTTGATAATTGGACGCTTTCTTTTTGTAGATATGTATGTTTTAGGCAAAGATATTTATAAAATGTAAGAAACAATCTTTTAATAAAGTATTTTATCAGAAAAAGTATTTAAAAGATACTAAGATACTAAACTAAAGTATTTAAATAGAAGATACAAAATACTTCCTAAAAAAAGTATTTTAGATACAAGATGAAAATACGTATTTTGTATCTTGTATCTGTATTTCAAATACTTGTATCTAAGATAAGTCACATCTCTGAAAATAATCTTTACCATCCAATGTCTAGTTTGCAAAAAATACGTGGAAAACGACAGACATACATACACATGCACACCTGTTTAGACACACTTATACGCAGGTCAAATTGATAACCTCCACAATTTTCTTTTTGAAAATCGATTAAAAACTAATGATTCATAAAATCCAAAAGAAGAAATACAAAAGTCGTGAAGAACTGTCGTAGACGGTTGTTACAACTCGAAATGTTTCTGTTTGTTTGTTTTAAAGCCTGTATTCCAGCAGTGAGAACATTACAAAGGCGATGGTGATGAATTTACCAGAGCAATGGTAGTAATGATAGAACACACACATACACACTTGTGACGTTATTACCTAGACCAACATAAGCATCGCACTGGAGCGACAAGGACAGATAGAGTCCCCACTGCAACCCCATCCAATTACTTCGATGGGTGCCTGAAACAAAACGGCAATAGCGGATAGCATTTTTTAAGTTGTTTTCGTAAGCCACGGACCCGAAATTACCTTGTATTTTTTCATTAAGTGTTTTGGAAAAGCTCCATAATGAAGACAGCTTGTTTTATCATTGTAGTCACCACAAAAGTAGACCCTAATATAAGTTCATTAACTGAACTGAAGATAACAGCCAAAGAGATTTGGACCAGTATCTCAATATTTCCAAAACGTACTGATTGCCCAATGGTGAGCACACAGTTAATATAGAAAAATGTTTAATAAGTTTAATTATCCTTTCTTCGCACCGAAGAAAAAATTATGCGCAATATGTGCACATTATCAATAAACAGCCAAAAAGTCTACGAACAACTGGTAAAGATTAAAGACAGTGCACGATAAAAGATTCTGTAAAAGAAAAGGCCTGTGCTTTAGAGACGATGCAATATTCGATTTTGAGGAGCTGCTTTATGACTTTACGTCCAAAGTAAAAATTTAGATAGTTATTATTACAAGAGTTTTTTTATGTTCGGTCTGCGATTTGGAAGTGAAGCAACATTCGCTAATTAGGGATAGTTGGTCTCGGCATCATCCACAGTCGATCGTTAACACCCACCAATCTGTATTGAGCTCGCTTGGGAGGTTATGTCCCGTTCTTCTAATCTAACTGCACGGAAGGCCTAGTTCAAGAAGTGGTACATTAATAGGCTAATGATGATGGTAATTTTATTTGAATGTAACTCTAATCTAAGACAGTAAAAACTACTATAAGAAAGCTTTCAAATATTAACTTTCAGTGACATTCCACGTTTTTATAGTAGTGAATTCAAGCATGATAGCTATAGCCTTCATTAACATTACATTGTGAAGTACGAAACAATAACGGATCCGTAGAGTCATCACTAAAACAAAGAGAACATACTGTTATTCGCTCTATTTATAGAAAAATTACCTTAAACACCGGTTCGTAACGGTTATTTTAGTTCAGCAAATTATAATTAGTTTCAAAAGTGTATTACTCTTATTCGGTCGTGATAACAGCTATTTTGCACTGACAAATTGGAGGTTTCTACGGTCGAGGACACTTTCGAGTTGGGTGCACTTGACAATTGTTTTTTATGCATATTTAGGTTACATTTGCGTAAAAATGTATGGATACTTATTTAAAAAATAGGTGATGTAAGATGTGTATTTTAGACTTAGATGTTTTTATGATTTTGGCGACTACGGGATCTTGATTTTGTTTGTCTGAAAACAAAGTTTCGGATATCTATATAAAAGCGAAAGGTCATTAACTCGTTCACCATGAAATCTCAGAAACTAGAAATGCTATAGTAAGTATTAAAAATTTTGCACGGGAGTCTTTTACGACGTAGGTGCTAACAAGAGAGGCTTTTGCTAAATTTAAAGGGTTGTTTTTGGGGTTAGTAGTTTGTATGTACAATTCTTTGGTACTCACAAATTTTGTATAGGGGTTCTTTTTAGAACATAGTTGCTACCTAATACGGGATTTAGTGAAATTCAACCCTCAAGGAGTGTCTTGCGGAACAACCACGCGGGTAAAGTCGCGGGCAATAGCTAGTTTCGGATAATTTCGAAATGTAGGTAACCAATTTCTTGGCGTATTGTATTTACTTTAGGGCATATACTTTTGTCGTACTATACAGGATTATATAACACTAGCAATATCGCTGGAAATAACGATGTTTGATTAATGATCTTAATCATAACTCAATAATTTGAAGAAAAAAAATTATTTTTTAAGTATTTATTTTACCTATTGCTATGACGTTTATACATTTACTAGCTTCCTGTATACCAAATTTCACTAAAATCCTTTCCGTAGCTAGTTTTTGTGTGAAAGAGTAACAAACATACATAATAAATCCATACGAATTCTTGCATTTATAATATTTGTGGGATATTCAACGATGCCACAGTCGCGTACTGTGTGAAGTACCTACATCTACGATCCGATCGTGAAAATTCTTCCACCTACGGGAAGCTACAACATACGCAGGTGATATATATAATTTACGCGGGTGGCATAATTTATATGGTTTGCACTTTTTACGCGGGAAAAATAGTTAGTATTATATACAAGACTTCCATACAGTTACTTCCATATTTTAGCAGTAAATTTAAATTTATTTTTGTATAAAGCAAAATATTACGAATTATTAAAAATCATACAATAAGTGTTTTTATTTATGATGGATCTACAAGATTGGTGATGTTTTACGATGATGATGATGTACATAAAAAAAATTAAGTCAATTATTGTTTGTAGAGAAGAGAGCATAAAACAAGATATTGGCTTCCATCAGTATGGAAAATTTCACTCGTACAAACCACATGATACTATATCAAATATTTATACATAATAATGTGAGTCACTCGCTTCCCAGTCATAATAAAGTAGTCGCTCCCAGGAAATTTGTGATTGCAATGAGTCACAATCACAAGCCGTGGACTGGTTTTACCTTAAAAGTTCCAAAGTAAATTTCATAGGGTTGACAACATTTATTTAACTATATAAACTATTATTAAATATGCAGCACTAGCTGTCAGGAAACGTAGTACCTATATATAATGTCATAATTTCAATTGTCTTTGCGCACACTATGACAACTTAACTTCACAAATTCAATAGTTTTTCATATATTTTTTTAAAAATATTTTATAGTTAGTCTTCTTAAGGGAAAAATTTCGAGTTGCAAAAGGTGAAGCCAAGAAGATGTTGTGAGTTTATTTCATAAGTACTACATATAGGCCAAAGTGTAAATAAAATAAATATGGATCGATTATTTCTATAAAATAGAGGGAAAATATTAGTAGCGCTGATAATAAGGCGTTAGAAAAATTAAATCTTCAGCTTGTACTTTCAAGTCGAAAGTACGTTTGATAAAAATTACTATTTACTCTAAGTCCTCGAGCTGTGTATACTTGTTGATAGTGTAATAATAATGATAATAGTTAACGATAAATTTGTTCCAAACTTGTTTTTTTCACTGTTAGACTTTTATATTGGGTACCACCTTTTTATAAGTTATTTTGTTTCATCACAGAAATAAATTTCTATATCATTTTTACTATTGTATTGTTTTTAATGCTTAATATATGAAATAAATAATATTCATTATACCCACACTATAGTAAATGAAATATAAAGATATTTATTGTAGGTACCAACGGCGGTTTATATTTATAACTAAAAGCAGTTTCTTCTAG